ATATGGATACAGGCATGAACTTTACCGCGGAATCCATGGATATGGACCATATGCACGGGTATTGGCAAACGAACAATTGCAACGTGCAATGGTCCATAAATATGGACTTCCAAAACCCAATGCCCTACAATATTTAGTAAGGTTAGTATCGTCACAAACTATACCACGGATATAATACCGAATAAGCTTTGATAGTTGAATTCAATTCATATTATCGATTTAATTTCAATACTTTAATAATTTAATTTCAATATTTCAAGTACCGAAATTTGAGATTGCAGTTTTGACCGTGTATTAACGAATCCGTGTACCTATATCTTAAACGTATTAATAAATTACACGTGTAATTGAAAAACGGGTACACGTGTATTTAAATTTTGTTTTAAACAATTGATTCGTTTGAAATACATAGGCTACAATTATGGCTATAGGATATAAGCGCCAAAGGTACAAAATTTACCTATCATTTGCGTCAAAATGTGTAGTACATAAACGCCACAGGTGCAAAAATGACATATCATTCGCACCAAAAATTTTTTTTTCCCGTTATTCATTAAGAAGATCTCTGCACCAGTTTCTTTTTAAACGCCGTGGAGGGTTTCCAGGAATTGTGTGAGTGGCTAGACCGGATATCAGAGGATTTGAGTGACCAGAAAGTTTATTGATAAAACGTTTGTAATACGTTTTAGCTTCTTCGTGTATAGTTTTCATTTTTAAGTCTGTGTGGAGAGTAAAATTTGAAATATAAGGGGGGGGGCATTAGTGATGGAGCATAGGATTTTATTTTGAATGGTTTGTATTTTGTTTAGATTGGATTTTTTGGCATTACCCCACAGTTGGAGACCATATGTCCACATAGGCTTAATTAGGGATTTGTAAATAAGCAATTTGATATTTAATTTAGTATGTTTGTTAGTTAATAATGTTTTAAGCAACCGGATACGTGCATTTAAGGTGAGTTTTTTTCCCTTACATGTTGCGCCCAGGTGAGGCGACGATCAATGGTTAGTCCTAGATACTTAACAGATTGAGATGAAGGTATAGGTATGTCAGCTAAGGAAACTTCAGGACAGGGAGAAAGGCAAAAAGTAAAGGTAGTGTGGAGTGATTTAGATTGATTTACTTTAACTCTCCAATAATCGTACCAGTTAGACAATAGGTTAAGATGATGTTGAAGGTTTAGGGAAGCAGAAATTGGATCTTCATGCATCGCTATAATTGCCTTGTCATCCGCAAACTCGGCTACAGATGTATTTAGAGAGGTAGGTTGATCAGATAAAATAAAATAAAATATAAATAATATAATATAATATAATAAAATCATATCTAACTGACCGTCACTTCCAAGTCAGGTTTGGTTCATCCGTTTCAAACATTGCAAACATTAATGCAGGAGTCCCACGGGGTGGCATACTCTCGCCAATCTTATATAATATATATACAAAACAAATATCAATAATAAATTATGAAATAAATTATACATGGGAATTAATATAAATTTAATAAATCGATTGCGAATTTATACAATAATTTCAATAGTTAATTTTAAATATAAATTTAATAAATTGGTTGATTTTTTAATCCCACTTTTTTCACATGTTTTTAATTTTATACATTTGTACTACATTTACAACACACTGTGTGTACCTAGAATTTTGCCGCTTTTGTACGATACGACTTTTTTTTTTATTACATTTTGGCGCTTTATGTCTTCCACCGACAATTATAAAATCGATAGTTTTTTCACCTTTATAAACCATAAAATATAGTTAAACAAAAACCTCAAAACGCAATGGCAGTTATGACTGTATAAATGTAAGTAAAAATAAATATTTTGCTATTTAGTATTATACAGTGTTTATTTCAGACCTTCTTCGATCTTGGAGGTATCGCACATTTTCGCAGTGAGAATGTATGTAGAAGTAAATAATTAATAAATAAATACATTTTTTAGGGAAGTATAAATTTTTGTTAGTTCCCGTTTCTTTCTAGTTACTCCCTAAAATAAACATTATGTATATTATTTTTTATTTTTATTTATTTTTTTATTATTATTTTTTATATGTTCTTATGAGTATTATATGTTCTATTATATGATAACATAAAATACGATTTAAGTTTAATCGCGGTATCTTTATTGTGTCTTAAGTATTTGTCCCGTTCAATTACGTTATCATGGATATTATGTACTATAAATCTAGATAAAGTCTTGAATGTAATTTTTAAAAAATAATAGTTTTACAGTTCCATTCGATGTTTAGGTTGTCTTATGTTTATAAGAAATTTTGTATTAAGTTTCTCTTTTTATTTCACACTTCGTATTTTATTTAAAATACTACTATTAAAATGATTAATAATCGTAAAAGCTTTGTATGGCAGTACCTATGCTAATCGAGTAAAAAATGAAGCATATTGTAGTTTGTGTTTCATTACTAATATTTAAAAAACTTAATTTACTAAAATCAAATAATATATTAAAAATTAATAAAACATAATTAATAAATCATATAATGCAGTGGTTTTCAACCTTATTCAGATCGAGAACCCCCCCACCCATTTTTTATTTTTTGTAATATGACATCTTCAAAAAAAATGCTGTTTTATTCATCAAAATTCGATTTAATTACCGATAAAATATTTACATAATAAACAATTTTGATTGATTTACACTTAAAAATTTCACAAAATAAATAATTAACTTTATTTTAATTTTTAAATACTATGGAAAAATCATTTTATCCATTATTTTTGGTGACCCCCAAATTTATGATTCGCGACCCTCTTGATAGTCCCAACCCTCAGGTTGAAAACCACTGATATAATGCGGGGAAAAAAATTATGAAAATTAATTACAATAATTTTTTATCTTTTATGAAAATAATTTTAGTTGAGTTTAATTTAACCTTTATCTTAATTGATTTTTGGCAAATAAAAAAGTATTTATCTGAGCTCAACAGTTCATAGGGATTTAAAGACTGATGCAAATAAACGGGTAACTGGTTAAAAACAAATACACGTGTACGCGGTCATAAACAATTATACGGGTACACGGGTTTTAACGTTCATTTACCCGTGTATTTTTTTAACGGACTTAACAACATTGCTTTGTAAGAAAACTTGTATCCGTGTTTTTCAATACACGTTATAATCGAAATATCATCGACATAATTTTATAAATAACATTAAACAAAAATTATTCTTTAACGATGTAGTTTTTCGAATAAGGGAGAAAATTAAAAAAAAAAACCATCAGTGAATGAGTGTAATAAAATGCATCAAATTTTCTATATATATAAAAAAAAAGTTTATTTATGTAAATCTACAGTCCGTAATCGATATTAAACTTTTATTAAAAACGTCCAGCTACTATCACATTGTTAATGCAGCAGTGCGCACCACAGCAGTGCAAGCGAAACGTACAATATATTAGCTAAAGACCGGATTTAATTTATATTGCAACTTTTTATTGATACCCGGTAAATCATATCTGATCAAATATGTATATGAATCAAATTAATTATAGTCTTTTTATTTTATTTAATAATGCAATTTTTTGCAATTTTTGCAATTAATGCAATTTTTGTATATTTCACGTGATAAAATATACAAATTATTATTTCCAAAGTGATTTTACAAAAAAAAAAAAAAAAATATAATTACGACTTATAATATAACTGAGTCAAGGGAAATTACTAGAATAATTTGTTTTTAATTCAATCTCGCAGCACATCGGTTATTTGACGTTTGGTCTGGATATCAAATATAGAAGTACTCGTATTAACATCTTAACGTAATTTTAATTAATTGTACGAGTCATGCTTAAAAATAAATTACCTATGGATTTAATCTTTATTCATACATCATTATCAATACTGGTAAACAGTAAGAAATCTTATTTAAAATAATGATACCAATAATTAAATAAATCATGAAAAAAAAAACAGTAGGAATAGGTTAATTTCGAATAGTAAGTGAATAGTAACTGATTCAATGATTGATTATACGATTTAAATATAAAGTGGTTCTTGTATAAATTCTTTGTTCTTTTAAATAAATGATGAATTAGAATACCTTTAGTTAAGTATAATCACGCTATAACCAATCGACAAAAAAAATAAACATCTAAAGTATTTAAATTTTAACAATATGAAATTTAGTGAATACAATTTAATACTTTATCAAATAATCAACAATTTGAAACAATATTAATTTATATTGAGTTAAAAGAAACAATCTGACCTCTTAGATATTTGAATAATAAACCCAAAATCTGAAATATTATGATTTTCTTCATCTTATATTTAACCTTGTGGTTGGTATGCAACCGGAAAAGCGCTTTCCCATTTTCCATGTTTCCAGCTTACCTTTTCAGTTTTGCGTAGATTGATAGTCTAGCATCGGAGGTAATTTGTTAGACAGATTAAGGTTTTGGATTTTCTGGGTGTCTCTTACCTTCAATTTTCCTTCTGTTATTCTATAAATCAGTTCATTTTTGTGCCTCAATATGTGACCAATCGTGTTTCATCATCTTACTTTGATGGTTTCATTAACTTTTTTTGGGTTCATTTATTTCTCTGGGTATGTGTCCATTGGAACGGTGTTCTATCCAACTCGCTCGCGGCATCCTTTTCCCAAAAATACATTTCAAAGCATTCGAGTATTAGTTGTTCTGCCTTACACAGTATTCAGGTTTCGTAGGTGTACTACGCTCTTTACGTATACTCACATAAAATATTTTTTCACCTAGGTTATAAATATTTTATATTACATTATGATATTATATTGACAAATCATGTGTAGTAAAGAGTAAATAAGTTTAATTTAAACATTTTAAATATCAAAAAACTAAAATTAAAAAAAAAAACCAGTTTAATTGGTAATAATGATAACTTTCTAAAATGTTTTTAGATAATTCGAATAATAATAACTAAGCAATATGTTTTTACAGACTGGATGATGCCAGGTTAACCAGCTACTAACGGTACAACCTGAATGCATAAATGCACACAGCAATCAATAAATTTTCAATAACAGTCGGTAAGAAAAACTGGATAAGCATTAATATTGTGTAAAATTTCATCCAAATCATAAAATTTGTTTTAGAATCACGCATAACTACAACAATCAACTGATTCCATACGTAAAACCCAAACCCAGCGTTAGCATCGGTTTTATGTACTGAGGACTGTGAATTAAGAGAGATTTTGACACCTGTAATAAGTGCCACGGAATCCACAAATATTCCAACAACTTCATTGAATGCCAATAATTTAAGCTTGAAATTATTGAATGAATTATTAGAACAAGAATCTAATAAATTTTTTACGGAATCAGAAAATAAAAATAAATTGAATATTGGGTCGACTAATGACTCGGTAGAGAACTCGGAGGTCGATCAATCATCGGTATTATATTCGTTGGTATTGGAATACTTTTTTGTACAATATTCAAGTTTTTATTTTCAGAATGAATTTTTTGTTATTAAATTATTGATAACCACTCTGACTTCGGAAAATTTTAAGGCATTAACGGAAGAATTGTTGTTCAACATTACGACTGTTAGTCATTTAGAAAAAACAATTCAATTAATCATAGAAATGGTATTTAAAATATTTTTAGATCAAAATACTACAATTGACTTTTTAAACTTCATTACAAAATAAATACATTTATATTAATTTCAGGTGTTTTGTAAACCTCAATCAATTCCCATTTATGTATTTATTTGTTCTAAATTGGAAAATATTGAGAAAAGTTACGATTGCAGGTTCCATACTGCGACTTTCCCGGTTACCACGCTTTTTTCGCGTTACAACTTCTCAAAACTTACTAATCTACGCTTACTAGAAGAATTGTATTTGTATTTGTATATTATTGTAATTTTATGTGTATTTAGTACTTATTTTGTACGAGTATTACGTTTTGAAATTATTCAAGTACGTTTTTATTCAAATATTCATAAAACTATGTTCTATTAAAAACTTTTTTACGCAATTTGTTTATACTTGTAATAAAATAACCGTAAATCATTCGGACTACTGACTTTCTTAACTGTCTTTGAAATTCAGTCGGATAATTGTTTTATTCAAACAATCGTTATCATTCGAACAGTTGTGAAAAAAAAATCGTTCGCATACATATTTATTTGAACGATTATTTTGGATAAAATATTGCACAATTCTGCGGTACGCGCGTATGGGTGTATTTTAGGGAGGGGATGAAGTTGCAATCGTCCCCCCTGAATCCGTATTTAATGAATTGATTATATGTGAGATACACATTTCAATTTTTTTTAATGTGGATCATTTTATAACGAAATCAAATTACGCGTAGCTATGAATACTGAATTGGGATTTTTTTCGAGTCCATACTTAATGAAAAATAAAATAAAATACAAGCGTTACTTTCAAAATACAGGTGTTAAAAAAGAACTACACAAAAGTCGACACTAAGTGGATCCGGCATTAGATTTAAAAAAAAAAACGACAAATATTAAGTATTTACTTGATTTAAATATTAGCAACAATTTTACTTGTACATTTTTAGCCTGAATTAAAGAAAAAATTTAATTCACCCTCCCCCTAGAAGTAAGTCTATATACGCCCCTGTACGCGCGTGCGATCGTATGACGGCGACGACGACGGTTCGAATACGGTAGTGGTCACGCGCGCAGTATATCACGGTCAGGGACTAAAATTGTGTGCAGTACGACACACTGTGCAATACGCAATGTTAAGTGTGTAGTACGAGATATAAAAAGTATGTTGTAGTTCTATTCTTTTTGCTCGTATTATGGTATTCGTTTTTGATTTTACATTTTTTTTTTTTTTTATTAAATTATTTTACATATTTTTAAAATTCTAAGATGAACGAGTATCATCAGCAAAATCGAAAATACTATTTTAACTGTGTTACACATTACTGTTAACGTTTGAAAGGCGAGTATGACAAAATCCTTAAATGTGCACTACGAAAAAGTATATATTTTAGCCTCTGATCACGGTACACACACCGGTCTGGCCGGTTTATCGTTGCGTTCGGTCAGGGCCAGATTTAGCACGAGTACCACTATGTGGGTTCTGATATCATTTGCCGCTTCTCCGCCCCTTGACCCTTGTATTGTCCGTAAAAAAAAAATTTTATTTAAGAGGGTGTGGGGGCAAAGTTACGAAGTTTTGTGGTCTGTTTTTGAAGACGGCTAGACGGTATTGTAAAGGAAGTCCGCACACTGCAGCGGTAATTCGGCCGCGGTAAAATATCGTCGCTACGATATTTATAAAAACCGCAGCATGCTCGATTTCACCGCCACCACGCAGCGGTATTTTCAATTGACTTATCAAATATATGCTAATAGTACCTATACTATCTAATATATATGGTGTATATTAGTCTAGACTTCGATTATTTCCTAGAAACTATTTAAGTTATAGTTTAATATATTATTTAACTTAATTAAAGATAATTCATATAAAAATAATCAATACAATATTATATATAATATAATGAATATAATATGTACAATAGTATAAGTACTTAATATAGTACTAACGTACTATATAGATAAATCGTCAATTTATCAATGGCATAGGAATTTACTAATTAATTATACAATTATTGAATGTAATATATAAATATATTATGTTTATACTGGATAAAAATTGCCACCGCTACCGCCGCAATGTGTTTAGGTCTGCGATTTTGATATCGCCACCGCCACCGCGGCAGTGTATATTTAACCATTATACTAGTCAAATGTAACAGAAAAAATAATACTTGTGTGCATGGGCCGTGTATAATATACACATGAATCTACATCTACACTGTATATACTGTAGTCAGGGTCGGCTGAAGGTATAGGCGAGCTAGGCACCTGCCTAGAGCGGCACTTTAGTAGGGCGGCATTTTCAAAATTCACTCGTACATTTTTTTTAGATCTATCGGTGTCTTATAAGAAAAATATTTAAATTTATTCGTTCGCGAAAACCATTTACCTATATAATAAAATAATACTGTCTAAAGTTATTATATTACTTTATATTATGGCCTACGCTGGGCGTTTTCAATTATTCCAAAAATATAAATAACCACACAATCACTTCCGCGATTTCCGATAGTCGCGATAGTGATGGGTTTTGAGTAATAATTATAGCAATCATTTTTAAGTCTTTTTACATATAATTTTATACATAAAATAAAAAATTATTTTTTTTTTTTTTATATAGATATGTTACATAAAAAATAGGAGAGGGGCTAAGTTAAAACAAGAGCTCATTTTTTTTTTAGAGGCGGGTAAATTTGATTTTGCCTCGTGTACTATTTTTACTCGGACCGATACTGACTGCATGGTTAACGGTGAACAGCATCGGGACTATGTAGTGTATCGTGATTGATAACAACACTAATAAAATATGAAAATACTTATTGCGGTGAACGATGTATTAATATGGATATTACGGACTGTAATGATATTTTAACCGCCCGACATTCAACGGAAGTGTAACTAATTCTTATTACTCTAACTCAGCGTTTCTCAACCAGGGGGTCACGACCCCCAGAAGGTTCGCGAACACCTTGACTTGGGGTCGCGCAGGTCAAAAATAATAAAACGCTGATTTACAAAATGCACCTTTTTATTTAAATATTTAAGACTTTTTAAATAATTTTAAATAAATAATTAGTGTGATCTTTGAACTTGTTTTACATTTAAAAGTTGCTTAATTTGTGGTTCAACATCTGAAACACATAAAAGTAAGTTATTTTCTAGTGATAACAAACGATTTCTGTACTTAGTTTTTATTGCCACCATGGATGAGAATCCTTTTTCGCATAAATAAGAAGTAGCTAACGGAATCAAAATTTTCAATGCCTCTGTTACCTCACTTCCATATTCATTTTTCCGGGCAATCCAAACCTTATTTAAATCTTGAAATCCAAATTGTAGCTGTAATTTCTTATCAGCTGATAATTCTATCAGTTGGTTGTGAGTCTCAACTGATAATTTGGCAACTGCAACAATATTTTCATCAAATGGATTAAGAACCTATCTATTTGAGAAGTCATTGTCGTTACACGAGAAATATTCGAGTAGTTGAATTTTCAATTCTCTTAAATGTGTTTTCATGGTATCAAAAACACGATCAAGAATAGGACTTTTTAAGTTTACATTTTTACATTGCAACACGAGCGACGCGCGACTGTCGTCAATAAATTAATCGTTTCATAACATACAAAAATAATATTAAAAATAACAATAATAAGCAGTCGATTAAATGTAGATATCTCATCAATAAAACGGGCACTACTCCACTAATGGAAATTCCCAACGACCCGATACATAACTTTCAAACTTGATAAGCTTAACTTACTAGATATGGTATTTATAAATTGGTATTTAAAATGTTATATTTCGTTTGGTTAATGATAGGATATTTTTACTGTTTAAATTTTTACCTAACCTAGATGGAGGGGTGGTCGCGAAGTGATTGACTATATTTTATACCTATTTTGGGGGTCGCGACACTAAAAAAGTTGAGAAACGATGCTCTAACTGTATTCGTAAGGCCTTTATCGATATTTGTAAAACAGGCGTTCCTCTCTTACGGAGCGTTAAATCTTAACCGAGATAAAACCGATGGTTGAAATATCGGCCCTTATATTGTTAAAATGATAAAAAAAATGAACATAGGTAAGGTTTGTTGAATGTGCGTGTATGAACACATCCTAGATTGTGTTTCGAACCTTGTTTTATCAATTTTCACCAACTTTTAAAATTAAACTTTTTTGTTATGTATTCAATATTTTATGGTTTATTTTTATATTTTTTATACATTATGATATTATTTCAATTGTTTATAAACAATTGTTAGAGTTCAATTTTTTTAATAATTTTAATTTTAATCAAATAATGAAAAATTGTATTCATAATTTTATACTTAATTAGGTAATGCACTCAACGTGTTAAACAACGACGATATGATAGAATGCCACTTCGACATAATCCATATTCGTCGACAACAACAATCGATACCAGAGATTATTTTCCTCATGAACTCGATTTCCGTAAAAATGAAATTGTTTTAATATTTATAAGTATTTTTCAATAAAAATACATACAACCTCGGTCCTACAATGATCATGGTTCGTGGTGGTTTTTGAAATTTAAATTACTTTAAAATCTGATAAGATAAGCCTACACGGTTTCTACTCGAATCAAGCAGTTTTTTCAGACAATCAATGTTTGCATTCCGATAATGAATAAATTAAAGTTGATAGTTAAATTTTACGAGTATATCAGATCCGTTTTGTTCGGTCGTTAAATGCTCACATTTGTCGATACACGTTCCTTTATCTTTTAAAAGTTCAATGTACTATGTGCATAATGTTTTATGGACTTTCATTATTAAAACAAATTTGGTACCCCTACACCATCAATTGTAGCCAAAAACGACTTCATAATAATAACAAGCTTCGAGAAATAAAAAACACTATCAGAACTGCCAGAACCCCAATCATTCAATCGTAAAATCGAAGTAATCATAGACTTCGAATAGATTACTCGAAAATGTATAACGGCCATCATACGAGAATAGAAGAAGCATAATTATGCCAAAAATGTGGCGAACTCCACTCTGTCAAACATCTCCTCATCCTCTGTGGAACCTATACAGAATCAAGAAATAATTATGAAATTCCTGTGGGCATCTACGAAGTTCTTAGCCCCAATGAAGTCAACATCAAAAAAATGATTTTATATCTTAAATATATTGATATTTATAATTGTATTTATTAACCTCCCATAATTTATGTGTACCAATTAAAAAATAAGCATATACGCTTAAATTAAGTACGAATCTTGTAAGCTAATAATCTCAGTAGTTACATCAGCAGTACAATGAATAAAAAAAAAAATTTTTTCGTATTAAAATTTATTCAGTATCTAAAATAGTTTTTAAAAATAGAAATTTCCTTTAAATTGGAAACTCAATGTTTGGAAAAAACGAGTTCCAAAAGAAACGGATTCCTGGGACGAATTCCTTCTTAAGAGACGGCACTTCTTGAACTTATTCCTTTTCTAGAAAAAAAAAAAGGAACGAAAAGAGAGTTCCTTTTTTCAAGAAAAAATTATGAAATTTTCGTTTCCTTTTGAATCTTCCTATATATGAAAAAAGGTAAAATTCAAATAGACATTTTTTTAATGCGAACGGTGTGTATTAATTTAGCATTGTTATATTAACTTATAGTCGCTGCATTAATATTTTTTGTTAATATAGTTATATTTAATTAGAATACATAGAAATTGTTGTTGTCACGTTGCATAGTAGTTTGAAATCTATTTTGATTTATTAATTTATCACTAATTTTTAATGTTATCATAATTAAGCGTAGCTGGTGATATAGAGGATTGTGGTTTCAAAAATATTAAGAACTACTAGCTTAAACTGGGAAATGGTAAGTTCCCATACGTAGAATTGGAGGTAAACGTTCAAATATTTAAGTTTAAACGAAAAAGTAATATATTGGTACGTAAATTCTTATAAGAAAAAATATACAGTTACCTAAGTTCCTACACGAACAAAAGTACATGTTTCATTACTAAAAAACCAGTAATAATAATAAAATAAAAGAACTTTGTGATTATTTAGTAACAAATTATATAAAGGAATACTTTTCCCCCTAGTATTTTGGGCTAGTGCTAGTTCTTGCAGAAGACTTACTGAAAATGTACGCTATTAACTTTTTCTGATGAAATATTTAATAGAAGTTTGATTGAAATAGAAGATAAATTTGTGTGTCTGTTTAAAAAATATCTAACTGTATTTGGAATGAACTAACCTGTTCGAAATGAAAACGCATCTGATCCCTTTGAATTTTTGATTTTGCGTTCTTATGATAATAACCAATTACAAGAATTTGTAGAAATCAATTTACGGGAATTAGTAGATGATCAAAATATACTTTTAATGTTATTACAGAAAGCGTAATGAATCATCAAAGAAGACTATTTTTTTTAGATGCTCCGGGTGGTACAGGAAAAACATTCCTAATTAATTTGTTATTGGCTAAAATTAGATCCACAGGTAAAGTTTCATTAGTAGTTTCTTCATCTGGTATAGCAGCGACTCTTCTTAGTGGTGGCAAAACTGCACACTCGACTTTCAAGTTCCCATTAAATGTATTAGTTGATACAGAATGCGTTTTTTCGATTCGTAAAAGTGGCCCTCTTGGAAAATTCTTCAAGAAACCTCATTCATTGAGTATACAATGAGTCACAGATCACATATCGAAGCAATTGAAACATTAAAAGATCTTAAGTGTAATAATAAGCTTCTCATTTTTACAGCCGAGAAATCGCCATTAAAAACAAATTGTGTGTTTGTTTATATAATACATATAAGTAGCCTTTGTGTATATGGTCTAAATACTCACACACACACAGTGCATTTTTTAACCAGTTAAGTAAGCGACACAAATGTCGACCAGTGATATTCTTTCGATAGTATTTTGATATATTGGGTGAAATTATGCGAAGCGAACGTAAAATATCGCACTATCATCATACTGTGGTATTATACGTTGACTGCTTTGAGTTTTAACATTTTTTTGTCGCCGAGTGGAAATCCCTTAAAAAATGCACTGCACTGCACACACACACACACACACACACCACACACACATACATATACACACACACGTACATTCAAGTATTCCGATCCGGGTGATAGTGAAAATCAAATAGGTCAGTCCATTTTGCACGGGATTATCACAGAAGGAAAGGATCCAAAAAAGTTATACCATTGATTAAATATACTTTTCATCAATGTGTATACTATATATTATATGTTAGCAAATATGTCGTTTTGAAAATAAGAAAAGACTTTTAGATTGATATTTTGTTACACATTCCGTGATCGACTCAATCGTGAGTACCAATACATTTTTTAATAAATTTACACTGGGCGACAAACCATTTCTTTTCTCAAAAGAATCAATGTATAATAACATGATGGTAGTGTTTCACATTCACTTTCCTTAATTATTATAAATAAAAATTTAATATGACAATACGAGTATACTGTATTGTATATAAATTTTTTCTATCATACATTATCTAATTTTCTTTTTATAATTTAAAAATAATCTACTTTTGAAAACTAATTAAGTTTCACTCAGTCTTTCGAAATACTATTTACTAGACGATAAAATATTTGCACTGGGCGACATTTGTGTCTCCTAGTTAACTAGTTTAAGAAATGAACTGGTGTGCACATGTGTAAAACTCGTTCGGAATCATAAAAAAACTTAAATGTTAATAAAATACAATATCTGTTTTATGGGGGTTCGGAATCTAATATTTTATTGATTCAATTTATAAAACGATAAGTATTAAAAAATTCTTGATCCACACTTTATTAAAGACAATTTTTTTAATTTCTCTAGACTTTTAAACATTGTGCTTGACGACATTAAAGCATTCAAAAAATGTCATAATGATGTTCAAGAATTATTTATTATTAATATAAATTTTTATTAATAACAATTGATATATATATACATATAATATTTATATATTGTTATAATAACTTAATTGACGTCAGTAGTTTGGTGATAATTTCTGAATTGCGAGAAATGACTGATTGTGAACTGTGTTAAAAATGTTTAGAAATCATAGTTCATTGAAATATATGATAAAGTACGAAAATATTAAATATTATATATAGTTTGTGGGTCGAAATTCCCATAAATACTCTAGTCATTTCCGTAACTTTTCGATTTAAATTCTATACAAAATAGTTCATAGGTAGTATACTACTTTACTATAGTAAAGTTAAAATATGAAAAATCCATGATCAACGAAAGACTCAACAAGGTATAGTCAAGTATAGTAAAATGTAAAATGAACTTCCACGAGTTAATACATAAGGTATAGGTTACTAATTAATATTTAACATTAATTATATTGTAAAATACAAATTTTAGTATTATAATGTCTTTCTCCTCAATTTAGTAGAACTATCATATGCGATGTGTTCGATACGTATAATTAATTATCTGCTTACTACGGAACATTTACAAACCGGAAATCGGAAATGAATGTCATTTATCCGGTCTAAGGTCAATGGACGTCGGATATGTTCGAAGCATACCCATTGAAATCCTAACATTTCGTCATCAGAAAAATTATAATACATCGGCCCTGATTAAAATGTAAATCCTTATAATATTTATCTAGATATGAATTTTTTGTTGTGAGCTTATTTTTCGTTCATTTTGAACCTTCTGTCAAACAAGCGCGTGTTTCTGGTAATTCAATTTTCGAGAACTTGAGCAATGCAAAATGAAAATAGCTTACAGTCGTTTTAAGTATTGCGATATTAATTAAATACATTAAATACAAATAATTACAATTCATAAAACAAAATTAGATCGTGTAAACAATTTATCATCGAAAAAATATTTTTCATACATTTTTTACTAGTCAGTAAATTTAAATAGAACAACAACATCTTTTTTTAAGTAGGTAAAGTTGTATTGTAAAATACAGAAGATGAAAGAATAATGAGATCTATGGTTATAAACGTAAAAACGCAAATATAGTACTCTTCATTTGCGTATTAGATTTTTTAAAGTGGTCTTGTGGAGCGATCACTAAAAATATTATATGATAATATTATATATAAGATATTATATAATAATATTATATTAATATTAATATTATATTATTATATTATAAGATATATATGATATTCTATCAAATTTTATACTTATTTTAGTTTTTATTTTTTTTTTATTGATCTTTTTATAAGACATCAGCTTCAAGGGCCATTATTTTAACATCAACTTAAAATTAATTTACAAAGGTTTATTTAATGTTATTGTATGGCTTAAATTAAGTTGTATAGTTGAATTTCTTTTATGACTAGTATATTGTTGGTGGTTGATTGAGGGTCAGGTCCCAGCGATATTTCAGTTTGTTACGCGTCATACTTCGAAATTAATTTTCGGGTATTATAAAAAATTACGATTTATTTTTAACTCCGATCGTGATGTGAAGGTAACATATTTTTAATCATTTTAAAGCAGGGCTTGAAACCGGTCCCGGAAAAATGGGTTCCAGGTTTAGAGAACCCGGAAATTTTTTCGAAACTAGTCTTCATGGTTTTTAGAAATAGTGGTAATCAATTCCCGGTTACCTAAATAACTATAACAAATGGGATTACCTACCGGTTATCTGTTTGGAAACGATTTTAAATCATAAAGCTTACCGGTAACTTCTTTTAAACCGGGTTTTCGTTTTTTTTTCAACAGTCGATTTTCTTTTATTAAACTTGAATCTTAAGTACTCTTAACAAACCATTTATGCATGTTGTTGTGCTATTACTATAGGTAAGAAAATGCATAAAACAAAAGAAAATACTACATCAGTTTTTTTTCTACGTTTCGGTAAATTACCTACTGAGAAATTGAAAAATGACCTTACTAAAGAACCTTTAAGGTCCAATTTCTTATTCCTAAAAATGTGAGTTACGCAAATATTTTGCATACGAAAACCAAGTCCAAAATATGTTGACGGGAAAAAAAATAATATAAAATTCAAATAACAGCGTATTATTTTCAAGAAATAAACAAATATTCTAGTTTGGACCTTTATTACATTCTTTTTTTTTCAATAGTTGCCTATTTGTTACATCGTACAATAATAATACAAAAAGTGTTAATGTAATATATGTATTATCATTATTTATAAACCAATTATTATGCAGGGCTGGATTAAGGCCCAATGCCGCCATGGAGCACACATTTTTTGCCGCTCCTCCACCCCCCACCACAAAAAAACCATAAAAACATTAAGTAATTATAGTAAAGTATTTGTTTATTTATTTATTATTTAAGTATCTATATCAAAATATTTTACAATTCATATTCATGTGTAATAGTTAAAATAAAATAATTCTGAATTTAAATAGGAAATCTATCTATCTTTTTTCTGGATTTTATTGTGACAAATTGCCGGTATTTGATGACCACTTCTCTATATTGAAACACAAGAACCGGGAAGCAGTTACCAGTCAAAAAAGTTGTCATGGTAACCAGTTACTGGGAAAAATCGGTTACCGGTCGGGAACCACTGATTTAAAGCCTTGTCCACACCTATGTAACATTATTATACAACAGTATTTTGTAACAAAGATGTATAAAATGTTATGTAGGATGTGTTATATAACATTCTTATCAATTTTTTTTATTTATTTATAAGTTCAACGTTCAGTTTTGGGATTAATAATTTCTGAATTATTTCTTATAAAAATTGATCTTACTATATCTTATCTTATTTAAATTTATTTATCGGGAAAATTATATAATTTAAAATTTTTCGGTAAGTATAGAATTTTATTATACATGAGTATCGATGCGAACGCTGAGTTGTGTGATATTACGTTTAAATATTCTTATTATTTAAGTATTCTCTACGATTAATTAAAAATATTAAGCATCATGAAGTGGACAAACGCTAATGTTGGTCAGTTAATTGAACTTTATCGCGAACATGAAGTTTTATGGAATACTACATTAATAGATTTTAAAAATCGAAATAAAAAGCACGATGCTTGGACTACAATTGCAAAATATTTTCAAACCGACAAAGATATGGTTGAAAAGAAAATGAGAAGTCTTATTGGTCAATTACAAAGAGAGTAAAAAAAGTCAACATCGGGAGTAGGAACTAATGAAGTACATGAATCTAAATGGTTTGCATTTAATAGCTTAACATTTTTAAAAGACAAACACAAATCACGCCTTCCACAGGAAGCTGAAATCAAAGTAAGTCTTTGAGTACTCATAATAAGAGCTATAGCTATATGTATACTTATATTAAATATATATATAATCTGTATCACCAATAAAATGTATACTTCATAATTTATGTTTGCCACATATTTATTACGTATTTAATTTATAATTGTATATTATATATTATTCGTAATAGAAAACAATATGATTTTTATTTTTTAATAATTTAAATACAAGTTTTTTTGCATTAATTATGAACATTAAGATTGATACAAACTGATATTTTCCTAATCAATTATTATTAAATATTATAGAATTAAATAGTTAAACATTCAAACAATATAAAACATTTGATTAACAATATTTTAACTGTCACAGAACTTCTCTTTGTGATGAAATGAAAAAAATCTGTGAACTTGTCTCTTATTATTGTTGCTTCTATCGATGATCTTACATTATTTCGACTGTGTAATAATGATTGAACATTTTATTGTTCTCTTCTTCAAGATCCTTCAATAACTGTACCGAAATCTAAATCCTCCTGGTAGATTATAATTTTGCTACGATAAACTATGACGCAAACAGTCATACTGATTTACACATGCTAATACTACTTTTTAAACTTTTTTCGACTGCAATTAAAGAGGTTTACGAAGAACACAGAAATTGATACCAAAAATTATTATTCCAAAAACATTTTTGATAACTCTTCTTGCCAGACTTAAGTCGTAGTTAAAAATACTTATTTTTTATACTTTCTCTTGATATCCATTGTATGGTATTAATATATTTAAAGATAACGAAAAAGCATAGTCAGAAATAAAAACATGAGGACAAAGTTTTTCTTTTCCTAATAATGTACACATATCTGTCAAGGATAATAATGATTCTTTAAATAATTTGTAAAAAACAGTGTTATTAAAAACATTTCCATCAGATATACGGTCTTGACATCCAATATTTACATATATAAATGTAAAGTTTGTATCTTCAATTTATCTATCACACTATACTAAAAGTTCCTTTATTATTAAAGTATTCACTGCCACTAGAATTAATTACTTCAATTACAATATGTTTACCGTCCATGGCAGCTGTGCTTAAAGGGAAATTCCAAAACTTTTAGTAATCACTGGAAATTTTTTTCCACTTAATTTCACTGAAAGATGTCTAAAAAATTATTAGTAAAATGTTTTAAAAATTACGAATCCAAAATTTAGATATGCAAACAAAATATAAAAATATATACTCGTATATGTTTTGAAAAAAAAACCATTAAATAATTAACAAATAAATTATAAATATGCTGAATCTAATATTTTCAATAAACTTATAATAACAACTAGGGCTCGGATTTCAATGCCTTTGCATCTTTTTTTTTGGGATGTCTTACGCGATGCTTTCCAAGCTACAAATTTGTTTCAGGTACTCCGTGTTCTATCCACAAACATTTTTTGGGACATTTTTTGCATTTTTAGCGGATTTTATACTTTTTAGATCATTTTTTGAAGTTTTTAATGCATTTTTTTATATTTTATAACATTTTTAACCTATTTCTCGTATTATGACTAACATCAGTTGATGTTGAAAGATCATTTTCAGTATATAAAAACTTAGACAACCGTCGAACATTCAAATTCCAAAACTTAAAAGAAATACTAATCGTACAATGCAATTCAAATATGTAATTTAATTTTTAATTCAATTTTTGATTTTAGTTTTTATTTTATTTTTTGTAGTGTAATATAAATAAAATTTCATTTTTTACTAATTTTTTAATAATAATTTGAATTTATTTAATAAATGATGCATTTTTTTGATATTTTTATGGCATTTAAATCCGAGCCCTAATAATAATATTTTAATAAACTTGTGTTTTCAATTATTTTTGACGAATCCGCAAATATTTCTATACATATAACCCAAAAGTATAAACTTTGTATTATTTTAGTTATACGAGTATAATATATTATTATTGAAATATATATGTTCTTATTTTGTTAGACACAAACTATAGACCCAAGTGATTCTATGGTTGAAATAAATTTGACACATCAGCTTGATCAAATACAAAAAGATTCAAATATATCATTAGAAATTCAATCGAATATTGATTTCGATGGTCCAAAAGAATTATTTAAATGTCCACAGAAAACTCCTAACCATAAAACAAAAAGCTTTAAGACAGATAGTACGTTTATGTCTGATGAGACATACCATGTGATAAAAAGCTTATATCAATAAAATGAAAACAAAGATAAATTTGACATTTTTGGACAACACGTAGCATGTAAAATAAGAAAGCTCTCTACATCATACGCAAAAAGTACGATTCAGTATCATATAAATAATATAATATTCCAAGCGGAATTAGGACAATATGATCAGCCTCCACAAACTCAGTTCAAAACATATCAAACACCATATTTTGACTATCAACCAAGTTCGTCTCTATTAGTTTCTGAAAGTAGTAGCAGTAGGCCTTCAACACCTATAACTTTTATTTTACAACAACCATGGGAAGATTATGAAACCAAAGATGAAGCATAAGATTAAATGTACGAGTAGTACTTATGTAAAATAATAATTTTAGTATTTTATATTATTATTGTACATGGATGTTGTTATATTTTATATTTTACAGTAAGCATGAATAATTTATTAATTGGTATTATAATAAATTTGAAAATTGGATATTTTATTTATATAATAACTTATAATATTAATATTACTGAAAAAAAACTTACTTTTATATATTCTTATAAACTTTCTTCTAGTGCGTCGCAAACTTCTGGTACTATATTGAAAATGGTTTGTTTTGATACTTTAAATAGGTGCATGAGACTACGAAAAGAGTATAACACCTTTAAGTTATAGCTAGTCGGGTTTTCACTGGTATTGATTTACTAGCACACGCAGATGACATAGTGGTCATTGGGAAATCATGAGAGAGTATTCAAAATACTATTGATGAATTGATAAAGGTAGGGAAAGAATATTAGCTTAACAATTAACTGTAGAAAAACTAAGTACATGATGGTAAAGCGAGAAGGAGGTGATTATAATAACCTCCACGTGGGAAATAACACCTCTGATCAAGTACGAGAATTCAGATATCTAGGTACTACACTAAATAGTTAAAACAGCATGCACGGAGAGATCAACATCAGATTAGATGCTGCTAACCGATGCCTTTATGCACTGAAAGACCTTTAAGTCCAAGCTGTTATCAACGAAAACAAAAGAACACCTTTCATTCTATTCACCCTGTATTGATATATGAATGTGCCACGAAGGCAACGATGAGAAGTGATGATTAAAAATTAGGTCTTTTTGAGGGGAAAGTCCTTAGAAAAATTGATGGACCCATAATACCGAACAATACCGAACTGAAATGGGAAATAAGAATTAACCCTCAAATATACCAGATCTAACAAAAAAGAAAATATAGACCCATGCACAGAGCCAAATTTAGGGGGGGGGGGGCACTGGCTACAACTGCCCCAAGCACCCATTTTTTGGGGGCGCCAAAATTTTGTGGTCGGAAATTTGCTCACTTGTGAATTATTGAACTTTTAAAATTATTTTGAAATTATTATTTTTTTGTTTTTAATAACAATATCCATAAATTAATGTTAATGTATTATGCTATTTGGAATCAAACAACTATGAACTAATGTATTTATAGCAATATAACTATCAGCGATCCAGAATATTATTAATATTTTTTCTTGTGATAATGCCAATAAACATAAGTTTTTTATAATAATACGACGTATTAGTTTATCGCGTTTGGCATGCGGTGGCATGCATATAACACAAAAATAGCATTGATTTTAGAATATCTAAAAGATTCATGAGGATCTATCTCCTATATTTTCCGTGGGTAGGCCCCTTAGAGGGGCGCAAAATGTCTAAATGTGGCACTGCCCATGCATCAGAAGTACGAGGATAGATTGGGTAGGCCAGGTATGGTGTGTGATATAATGGAAGTATGTTAAAAGAAGCATCTACATAAATGGTGAAGGAAATAAGACCAAGGTGTAGACGGTGGAAAATATGGAAGGACAGCGTCAAGAAATTAGGTATTAGAAGCAATTGGAGTAGATTGGGAACAGGCATATGATAGAGAGCGATGGAAGGAAGCAAGGCCATATATAGAAATTTTTTTCAGAAGAGGTTCAAAACTATTGTAATTTTATTGAATTTAAATTTTAACTTTTGATAATTGGTTAAAAATAAGACATAAAAAGATTTAATCTTCTTTTATTAAAATTAATACCATATTTTCATATGATATTATGATATAAAACTAAAAGCAGTCAATGGTTAATTGGAGCTTAAATAATTTTTGACTGAAAATATTTATGTTCGTATTAAAAATAAATAATTATTTTAAAAATTCGTAAAATATTGAAGAAATTTCGGGGGGGGGGCAGACACCCTGCACCACCCAGATACGGCTTTGGAAGGAAGTAGTGTTGGCGGCGAAGAGTCTAAATGACTCGTAAAGCCTAAAAAAAAAAAAAGTTACAAGTTAAATTTTGTATATTTTGTTATATAGTATGTACGTCTACACCAAATTGAAATATTCAATCAATAGCTGACAATGTCCTCCGTCATCTGTAACACACGAATAGGACAAAGTGCAATTGCCCAGGCCGTAGCTGGAGGAGGTCTATGGGGTCCCTCCGAAATTTCTTCAATATTTTACAAATCATTTATCCTTAGATCATATACGTTGTGTCGGTTACCAAATTATAGTCCCGATCAACCGCAATCGGTTATTGTATTTGCAAAAAAATGAATAAAGCATCTTATTGTTTCATTTTTAAATTTACAAAACATCTTAGACCCCCATCCCCGAAAAAAAATCTAAATACGGTCATGTGCAAGGCATGCATCTACTGTAGCATTTCTTAATCAAGTAGGTACCTTAATTACTAATTTATTCAATGTTCTCGATTCGCAGCAGCCGGCCACGTACCATAAAAGTTATCTTATCATCTCTTCCTCCGCCCAGCCATAGAACATATGTATTGATAGTGATTATCATTTCACGTTCGGTTCGGTTATCTGCGCCTGCGGCTTCAATCACGAAAACTTAGTGAACCCGAGCGTTCGTGTTCAACCGATTACAATATTGTCGAAAACAATCGTTCATCAGTAATGCGTGCAACATGTTAGTAGTGTTACCGATTTTTTTAGCTTAGCCAACGTCATATACTCGTAACACTTACTTCGATTACTAGAAAAAACGCGAAGCGAAAATCATGGTGAGTAACGTTCACAGTTCGAACACGGATAACACTATATACTACGTTCAGGGCCATATTTAGGAATTTGACGTCAGGGGGCAACAATAAAAAACGCCTCATTATACCAAATACATATTTCTGCGGGTCGAAAAAGATCTTTCTATAGAACAATTCGTTGTTGGTGTACACAAAAACATTCTAAGTGCAATGTCAAAATAAGGATAGATTATTTGTAAATCTTTGAATCTATCAACAGTACTCGATCGTTACCGAGTATGTGTGTGTGTCATGACGTCGTGATTGGCGATATATATATTTTTTTGAGATACACTTATTATTTTGTAAAGAAGTTTCATTTCAAAAATATTAGATCATTAAATATTGAAAATATAAAAAAATTAGCCTCTCATATTGAGACGCCCGGGGCAACAGCACCCATAGCTCCCCCCTAAATATGGCCTCAACTATGTTATACTTGTCTGAAAATATATGTAAATTAATGCCCTGCTCGGTTTCACTTGCAGAGAGGTGTATTCAAGTTTATTGTGTTAATCCTAACATTTGTAGTCTGTCCAAAACATGTCGTTTCGAACACCAAGGATCAAGCTCATGAAAAGGTAACAGTTCATCATAATACTACACACGGCATTAATGGTAAATTTTTTATCGTACATTGAATTTTGATATTTTTATTACTTAGTTGCAAGCGCAACAACAGCACTTTAGAGGTGAAGAACACAATCCAGACTATGATCATGAAGCATTTCTCGGTCAAGAAGCAGAAGAATTTGATAATTTGACACCAGAAGAAAGTCAAAAAAGACTTGGGTAATGATGTTCAAACTTTTTTTTCAGCTATAAAAGGTGGTCTCCTAACATTATATTTTTCTTTGTAGTGCAATAGTTGATAAGATTGACAAAAATAATGATGGATATATAACACAAGAGGAATTAAAAGAATGGATTAAATTCACACAGAATCGTTACATAATGAATGATGTACATATCCAGTGGGACACCCATAAGCTTCCAAATGATGGTAAATTGTCATGGACAGTATATAGAAAAAATATTTATGGATTTATGACTGGTAAGAACTGTATAATTATATTGGTTTTTAGATTTTTACTAAAAAAGTTTTTTTTTTTTTTGTTAGATGAAGAAGCAGATGATGCACAAAAATCTGATGATTCTTACACATATGCTAAAATGATATTAAGAGATAAGAGAAGATGGTCAGTCGCTGACATTGATGGTGATGGGCTATTGTCTAAAGAAGAATTTGTCTCATTTTTACATCCCGAAGAAAGTGTTCACATGAAAGATATTGTTGTACATGAAACAATGGATGATATGGATAAGGATAAAGACAACAAAATATCTATGGATGAATATATTGGTAAGTTATATTTATATTGGTTGCTTTTAAATTTGAATTAGAATTATATTGTTTATCTCCACTAGCCGATTTATTTCCTGGTGTTGAGCCAAATGAAGAACCTGTTTTCATTATAAGTGAAAAAGAACAGTTTAAAACTTATAGAGATAAAGATGGAGATGGATTTTTGGATGTCTTTGAGGTTAGAAGAAGTTAATTTTATTTTATTCTTGTAATTTAAACAGTATAATATTATTTGTTTGAATTATAGGTTAAAGATTGGATATTACCTGAAAATTTTGATCATGCTGAAGCAGAAAGTAGACATCTTATTTATGAATCAGATTCTGATGCTGATGGAAAACTAACAAAAGAAGAAATACTTGCAAAGTATGATCTTTTTGTGGGGTCTCAAGTCACTGATTTTGGTGAGGCTATAATGAAACATGATGAATTATAAACAATAATAAATTTAAAAGATATTATGAATATTACTAACAATTTAATATTTGTGAATAATGAATCACTTTACATTTTATAATGGACCTAGTAATTGTATAACATCAATTTGTGTTTATATTTTATAAGTGACTTATTATATTTAAAATAAAGATCTGACTGAATGAATTTGCCAAAAATGTTTTTCGTATGTCTAATATTGTATTTTTATATTATTTATATAAATTTAATTTATCTATTAAATATTATTAAAAAAATTTTTACATTCATTTTTAATATTAGATTATATGAAAAGTATTGTCTATTTTTAAACAATTACATGTACTTATAGTTTTTTTTACTAACTAATTTAAAATTTAAATGTGTTATCAAATTTAAAAAATGTATTTATTCTTATAAACATCATATTTTCTTAATTACCTGTAATTTATAATAGGCTGATTTAACCATTATGTGTGCATATGTCAAAACACTTACACTTTATAAAACTAATCATTTTAATACTGTAATTTTAAAGTTGAATAGATTGTCAACTGAACACTTTACAATGTGAAATGTTATTTATTTTTATAATATTTAGTTATAAGTATTACATAAGTACTGGTATTTAATAATTTATCTGATTTTTATTATTGTTATATACAAATCTTAAAATAAATATAAGTATATGTTTACATATTGCAACACAATCTTAGCCTCTGTGGTTATATTCAGTGTAATGAGTACTAAATTAATTTGTTTATTCGACCATATTATTGATTTGTTTTATTTATTTCAAGTTTGAGAACTAAAATTTGGTGTTAACATTTTTCTTGTGACATTTATTAACTGTTTTTAGGTCCACAAAATGTTGGCTTTCTGAAGTATTTATTATTTTGTTGCTTTATTATACAGTTTTTGACTTGTTGAAGTTAACAATGATTGATATAAATATAAATATTTAATTTGTTTGCTCAGAATGGTACCATAAAATTAATTTTTTCAATAATATTGTTAAAAAATTTAATCTAATTATATGTATTCATGACCGTTTAATATTTTTGAATGTACAACATGACATAATTTAGAATTACATATGAAATGTAATTTAATAAAATGTATTACAAATCGAGTTCGCACTCATAAGCTCCATCACACATGTTCAGTGAGGACACACATGTTCAATAAGGTCCATTATAAATTGTACTTATATTTTTGATTAAAAACAATGAATTATAATTGATTATTCATGGTATGTCATGTGTTTAAAGTTATTTAATTAATGACCCATGAAAATGTGTATTATATTTAAAAAAATGGTTGAAAATCGCTACTCAACCAAATTTGTAAGCATTCATTGATGTAAATTTAGTACCTTTTAAGAAACCAAGACGATAAAATGATAAAACATCAAAAAGCTAGTTGGAATTATACATGAACAATTCTTTACACCGATCAGATGGTTGAAATGCTTAAGAAATAATAAGTGCAATGTACTAACATGTACTAATTATCTCGGAAAAGATTCAAATGCGTTCCACCTTATTCACTATAGAATAACTTAACTGTTTAAGATACGTTTTCAAGACGCGCATGTCGTCAATATCTGTTAATACGTAAATAACTGTTTTGTAGTACGCAACCGATCGCTACAGGTTAGGCGACTGAACTTTGGGTCACCACGACCGACGGCACTACTGCTCCAAGAGCAGTACGTACGCAATATGTGATAATGATCTATGTACAAGAGCGGATTAAGGAGGCTCAAGCCGGGGCCCAAACAATTTCAAGCCGATACACATCTTTTATGATACTAAAATTAGTAGTTTTTTAGACATTAATTTAATATACCTATTAATTTTATAATGCAATTGACAATTTGTGAAATAGTTACAAAATGTATTGTTCTGCGAGCGTAACGAGCGGCTTTGTACTTTGTAAAACATGTTTCGTCAAAAAAGCACATATAAAATTTCAGCCTTGGAGCCCCATAGGTGCTTAATCCGACCTTGCCTATGTGCGATTGTATAAACTATTTTAAACATTTAATTATTTAAAATGGCATAAAATTAGTTTTTTCTCCTACGAACGATGAAATTTTTGTACAAAAAATAGAAAATAATTCTATTTTGTACGATTTGTCCGATGCTAATTACTAGGGAGCGGATGTCTAACTAAAAAGAAGAATGTATGCCAATGCCAAAAGAAAATGATTGGAAAACCATATCTAATAAGTTTAGGGAAGTATGGAAAATTCTCAATTGCATTGGTGCATTGGATGGCAAACATGTTATCATTGAAGCTCCACCAAATAGTGGTTCACTTTATTTTAATTACAAGAAAACATTTTAAATGGTTTTAATGGCTTTGGTTGATGCGAAGTGTAAATTTATTGCTGTGGATATTGGGGCTTATGAGAAAAGTAGTGAAGGCAGAATTTTTTCTAGTTCAAAAATGGGTAAAGCTTTTGAAAAAAATTAATTTAATACACCTAATGGTCGAGCTCTACCAGAAACAAGTGAAATTTTATCATACATAATGATAGGAGATAAGGCATTTCCTTTAAAAAGTTATATTTTAAGACCATACGCCGGCATACAAATTCACAGTGAAGAAACTAAAAAAATATTGAAGGAGCGACTATCACGTGCGAGAAAGGTTATAGAGGATGCTTAGGTCAGCTATCACAAAGACGCTTAAAATCATTACCGGTAAATGCGGATAAAATAATATTCACTAAGTGTATTTTACATAAATTTGTAAAAAGTGATAATGAAAATCAATTTGTATCATCAATGTCCAAATAACTACCTAGACACATAACAAAAATTTCTAATCAAGGAAGAGGCGCACCACAAGTAGCATTCGAAGTGAGGGAAAATTTCAAACAATTTTTTAATTTACCTGCAGGTCAAATGCATTGGAACTAATCAACTTGGTATTTTTCTTTATTATTAATGGAGTTACCGAGTTCAATAACTCAAAACAGACCGTTGGTCACGGTGACAGGTCGCACCTTAGAAAACGCATACTAAATTTTGTACGTTAACAACGAAATTGATAAGTTTTATCACTTGTTTCTGCGATTTGTGCTAGCGGTTTCAAATTTACTATCGATAAAAAAATAAACTTAATATTTATTAATGTGTAATATCTTTAAATAATTCGATATTTTTTCTTGAACCACTTGATTCATCCACTAGAATTATGATTTTAATTTAAAGTGATGATTATCAACCTATTGAGATTATAAGATAGGTACTTAAGACACCAACATGTCAGTGTTCAATTTTAGTGGGCCAGCAGAGATATTGAGAGCCGAACAAAAAGATGATGAGTCATGTGAACGAATCAATCGATACCTGTCTGAATTCCTGCTCAAGTTCAAAGGTACCTCCATTATTGAATAATATAAATAAAACGCTAATAATGATGATGATTTAGGACATATATTTATTAACAAAAACAAACAATACATATTTTGTGCATCACAAGTCTTGTATTATGCGCTTACAACGCTTTCCAAGCTTCAGACATTAGGGGAAGAATACACCAAAATCGTTCAAGTCAGGAAAACTGGAAAACATGTACCTGGGTTTTTGGTAATTGAACATAGAGATACAAGTAGATTACATTTATTCACCAGTATATCTTGTTTATAGGAAAGTGCTGGTATGATATTGGTCCATGTATTTGGAGACCAACTTATCATATTAGCCTTAGATCGTTTTATTAATTATATTCAAGATAGTCAATCGATTACTCTTCAAGCCAAGAATCAAATTGTACATTTTATGACTACTATTAAATCTCTAGTTCCATTGTTTCAAAGTCTCAATAAAGTATTATTCTACTGGAATGGTTCTTTTTACACATGGGCCAAACGATATTTCAATATAAGATATGTAAGTATTTATAATTGGTGACTTAAAGTTTAACTTTATTTACATAATTACTTTTTTTTTAGATTTATGCAATCCCATGGTATCACCCCAAGCGATCAATGCATGTCTTCAAAATTCTTAGTGTGTTGACTGCCACTCATCTGAGTATACTTATGTTTATAACTCTGTTTAATAGTCGAAAAATACAAAACAATGTTGAAGATCATTCTAAGAAACCAATATTATCAAGTAGTAGCAAGTGTTGTCTTTGTTTAGAACCGAGGAAGAACACTTCGCTTACATTTTGTGGACATCTGTTCTGTTGGTATTGTATACACTCATGGTTACAGACAAATAGTTTTTGTCCAATATGCCGCAAAACATTAAATCCTAGAAAAGTCATACCACTACAAAATTTTACTTAAGGATCTGTGAACAAGGTTAAGGTATTAAATTATAACTATGTATTAACGTGGATAGGGATAATTGTTTCAAATATTGTGATATTATTAGTGTGTTAAGTTTTTATTATTTTTTGATAAAATATCTTTTATGTAATAAATAAAATTGTTAAATAATGTACTATGTTGACTTATAGAATAATCAAATTATATTGTTTAAGAATGTATCATTATTTAACAATACAAATTTTATTGTAATTATTGCTATTATAAACATTGTCAATTAAATTTTGTTAAGAAATGTCTATTTACCAATATCTACGAGTTGTTTATTGTTTTTTACAATTGTATCTGTTCTTAAGCCTAATATGTAATTATTCATAATTTAATATGTAATTAAATTAGCCAATGAAATGCCTGTTGATAACAATCCAAAAATTATAATAATTTAAATTATTGGCTTACATAATTGTATTTTCAATTAATTTATCAACAATAGTATCACATACATTTTAAGTACACCTATACATCTAACACTAATTATTTTAGTTCTAAAATACTTGATAAACATTTTAATTGATATATGTTTATAAGATTTATGCATAAGTTTAATAAAAAACTAAGGAATATCATACATTTTGTAAGAAATTTTAGATTAAACTAAACTGAAATTGCACAAGATATGTTTAATATAAAAGTTATACCTAACCTACAACATTTATACATGGATGATTCATTAACTGTTGTCGTTCTGTATTCTGTAGAGTAATACATGCTTGGATATTTTTAAGAAATAAAAAACAATTAGCACGGTTATCTCTTTTGCAAGTTACTAGGTTAAAAATTAAGTCCATGAAAAAAGTCAAATACTTGTATGATATAAGTTTACAAAATAAAATAAAAATTCATACGTAATATACATATTATATTTATTTATTACATGATTTTAATTCAAATTAAATGTAGAGTTTCATTTAGGTTTACAATTATATAATTAATAATACTATTTCTATAACTACAAAAATAATGCATGCATAAATGACAATTATACAATGAAATTGACACAAAGAAAAATTTTAATAACCATTGTAATATACATGTAGACTTCTAATATACCTCAGTGATCATTAAGTTAAGCGTTAGACCACTTAATTTTCCAAAACTATCTTTCTGTTTTTAACATTTCTAAAAATCATGAGTAAATACATATTGATTTTTAATATAGAAATAAATTAGACTTACTAAGTAAAAAAAACTCATAGTTTTCAACCAAAGGTCTTAATTTAATTACTGGACCAAATTGTCCAAAATATTTGCACAGAATAAAAAATAAAAATTGATAGGTATATCTATACAAAAAAAACCATGGTATTGATATCTACTAGCGTATTCTATTATTTATATGTATTAGAAAATTAAGAACGAATGTCTTCAAAGTGCTCGGCTTATTCTATAAAAATAATCGTCTTTATAGGTTTTAAAATTATATTAGCTTATATATTATATTTACAAATTACACGGGGAAATTTTTGTTTTCAATGTAACACAACAATTTTTAGAATCTACAGTTAAATGATTTTAGATATTACATTTTATTATTGAGAAAAGTTTAATACGTGAGGTGAGGATTTTCAAAAACAATTTTAGCGGTTTATAAATTGGAAATCGAATGGATCTTTACATAACTCTTATAGTTAACTTATAAATACGAGTCGGAATCAAACTAAAAATGCACTAGTATTTTTAAACCAGTCATCAGACATTACCTGTGACGCACCTGAGATATCCCCCAAGGTACCTAATATTTATTTAGCGTTGTCTTTTTTACTATAGGATTTTGACAGATTCATTTAGTATTTAGTACATACACTCATTACGGGGTAAAACTATTTGCGATCGTTAGAGTAGTGGTCACAAGAACTAATTTTCTCTTACATAACGATTGTATAAACATTAACAATTTAACGATTAAAATTTTTCTTAAATCTAGTTTCATCCAAGAAAAAAAAAACCTCAAGAAATGTTTCACTAAAGAATATTATTGTTGTCCACTACAGACATAAACATATTTTCGTTAATCTCTAATACTTAAAAATATTCATGATCGTATATTTTTAATTGCTGATCATTAAAATTCTATCTCGCAGTCAATTTATCTAATTAATAAATATTCTAGTTGGTAAATAGTATCATTGAGATGAGTTTATTTACAAACAATAATTTGCTGCAACTATATATTAATCCTATGCCGATATACATTTTACATTTCAGATACACAATATATGATTTTATTCAAATACCGTATTAACAAATAATTTATTATATAATCGTAAGCATATTGCCGTGTTTGTATTGCTATTGACTTATTCACTATTCGAATTTAGCACCCATACGCCTTAAAGCTAAAATCGTGTTGGTAGCCCGGATCCATTGTTTTTTTATTACGTATCGTTTCAATTTAGTTTTGCTCAACGCTTTTTGCTGTTCCGCTGTTTTCAACCATTTGTGCCCGAGCGCTTGAGCCGCGTTCATCCGGTCCCTATGTACAAAGACAATAAACACACAAAATGCGTTAATGAAATACGTGTTTAAAGTTTTGGTGTGTGCAGTGTCGTCGCAAGCTTTCGCGAGGCCCTAGGCAAATGCAGTACAATTTCCTTACACCTAAATACATCTAACTATTCCAACTTGACAAATTGTGGACCCCCGAATTTATCTTAAGTGCGAGGCCCTAGGCAATCGCCTAAGTTGCCTGCCCGCTAACGACGACACCGGGCGTGTTATATATTTATTATAATGCAATATGAACCTGTGTTTATTATTTCGCAGCAAAAAATTCTGTTCATTCGATCGTGCAGTGCATAAACTCGAACTTTCCTCTCCGGTTAGGCAAAAACAAACACGAAATAAATAAAAATAAAAGCGAGCACATTAGTTGAAAAAAAACGAGGACGATAATTTTAATTATTTAACAAATCGTACCATGTTACATTATTATATTATGACAATGTTAATAGCTATTCCCGCTATTGATTATACGTCACTTTTATCTTATGTATATAGGCTGATAATAGGTAGGTATTTTGTATCTAATTGGTATATCTCTTTAATACAAGATTGTAATGTTTGAATTAAATTGGATTGGCATATTATATGCGTGTGGAAGATAGGTTCAAATATATGAACATAGTCATATAATCCGTATAGTTTACATAGCGGTAGAATGAGGTTGAATTATAATTATAATTGGATATTTACTAACACAAACAACGCTCGTGGTATCTTTAAAATTTAAGCTATAAACGAGTGAAAAAACTGTACAAATACATCACTATTTACTAAAATAAGAAAAATATATTAAAATTTGTTGATATAACACATTTAAAAAAATATTCAAACCAATAAATTATTGTTTATCAATGTTAAATGCTTAAATCTAAGTATAAAAAACTGTGTATATCAAAGGGAATAAAAACATATAAACATTTCAATTCTATTAACCCTATATTGAGCTAAAATATATTTTCACAAATATTAATAAATATAATACACATATAATAATTAGTAATTAACAAGTATTTATATAATTTTTTTTTTTTTTTTTAACAGACTTTTGTATAATATAGTCATTTGCAATAAAATGTATAATAATAAATTTACTAAAAATTAAACGTGAGAACAACTTTGGTATATATATATAATATAAAATGAAAACGCAACTAATAAAAATAAACAACAAAGCCCGTGTACAAAGTATATAATAATTACGAATGGAAAATCATTTATGTTTTAAAAGTTGACAGAATCGAAAAATAAAATATGTATAAACAACTTTGAAGTAGAAAAAAATTGCATACGAGCTCCCACAGTTAAAGTGAGTAGTGTAATAGAACGCAGTATAGAAAAGAGGAATTGGTAACTATAAATGTGTGTGGTTGTTAGAGTGTGCATGTGTTTATAATAACAGATGATTTAACCCGCCAGTATAGGTATACGTTGAACATAATACATTCTAAACACTAGTATTCATCGGTGCGAGAGGATAAATCAAACAAATGGTTGACAGAGTTAAACCGCACACGTCCCATACATACCTATATGGTTACATTGTCGAATTCGTTGATGAAAAAAAAAATCAAGTAACAGACAAGCGGTTATGTACAGTTGATGAATCGATGGACACATTCAGGTGGGTACAACAAGTACAACAATAGTAATAATAATAATAATAATTATTATTATTATTATTATTATTATTATCCACTTGCACACGGGTAAGGCGTGTGTGAGCATCAAGTGGACACTTTGGACTCGGGTGCCTTGTCAGCACCACCGCCACCGCCGTAGAACAATTTGAGCAATATTTCTTTGGCGGAAACCGTCTCGTGCTCGGGGGACGTGCGTTTACTGTGAGGCGCGGACCGGCACGACGAGGACGAAGACGACGAAGACGACGAGGTCATGTAGTACAGCAGATTGCTCGCGGGCGGCGGTGACCCAAAAGGCACATCGCGATTCAGCTGTGACATCTTGAACTTCGGCTTGCGGTCGACAGCGGCTGCGGTCAGGTGCTGCCTGTTCAACAGTAACTTGTGCAGGCTGCCACCCCCTTCTACCGCAGGTCGGTCGCGGTCGTCGAACATTGACTGCAGGTCCTGTAACCGTTCCGAGAGTCCCTGCAGTCCCGGCGCACCCAGAAACCCGGAAGTCGACATCGTCGTCGTGGTCGTCCGGAAGCTGGACAGCATGTACGACACGTCGGACGACCGTCGGAGGAAGCTGCTGTTGCTGAGATTCGAGCAGTCCAACCACGTTTGTTGGCCTCCCGTCACGTTTAACCGAGGCGCGTCGTCGGCTGCCGAACAGGATGTGACGGGCGAGCTAGTTTTTCGCGTTTCCGGTTCGTCCTTTTGCTGCTGTTGCTGTTGCTGTTGCTGCTGCTGCTGCTGCTGCTGCTGACCGGAAGTCACGACGCGTTGGTGCACTTCGGAAGTGGCCTGAAGTTGTGGCGCAAGACTCGTCTTCTTTTCCATTTCAGGTGTCGTATCTTGTTTTTGCGCTACGGAAATGGCTTGTGATGGTGCTTCGTCGGTTTTCCGCGTACAAATCGGTTGTACTGCCAATAATCCTTGTTCGTTGTCATTCTCGCAGCCCTGACTCGCGGACGACGATTTTTTATCCTTTTGGAATCTCAGCCGCGTCAAATTCGGTACCGTCACCAAGGCTACGTCCGCCGGAGACAGGCTGCGCGACTTGCTGCAAAACTCTTTCAGGTTGTCTTTGCTCACGTCTAACGACGGCGACTCATCTTGATGATCGACCGGTAATTGCAATGGTTGCTGTTTCACGGTTACTTCTTCTACTGGTAGTTTCGTCAGGACTTTACTAGTACTCTTGCGCACCATTTTCTTCGGTTTTTTCTTTTGCAGCCACCGGTGAGATAAACATTCCGTTGCGCTCGGACGGCTCCTATAACCAACCAACACAAACACACACACACACACACGCATGATATAAATTCGTAGAGAAAATTAAAACAAAATGTAACACTGCCATAATTATAGTATTATATACCTATACATTGGTATAGTTCAAGTACATGTGTAATATACTAATAATATGCGGTATACACGTCAAACGTAACAATAAGAAACGATTATGTATTATATAAACTCATTATATATATATATATATTATACTGGCCGAATTATTAAAATCACTGATAATCCTACTTTAAATGCATATTTATCTACACGCACTAACATTTATACCTATAAATATATTATGTATTTTGTATCTATACGAGTCTAATATAATTAACGACATAAGTATATATTTTACATTTTTAATAGCAACAAATTAATGTGGTAAGTAAAACTATTAAACACTATACCATATAAAACCACGGTTTTTATTACAACCATTCATTAGAAAAATCAATGTACTGTAGATACTCGATCAACCGCCACTTTTTTACCTATTACTTTTTGTTATCAGTCATCCTCAAAAAATCACGAAACCTACAAAATATGCGAATAGCACAATCGTTACCAAATTCAAGCACCAATTTAAATTGAAAACACAATCTAAACTCATAGGAGAACAAGTTTATAATTGTGACGAAACTCAATTCAATTGGAAAACTTTGTCATAAAGAAAACAGGCATTGTTTTAGAAAATATAGCCCCAAGTCGAAAAATACCGGATCACCGTAACGGTCAGTGTGGAGGAAAATACAGGTTCTTACTTCTTCGTAAAACACCTAAAATTGTCGTTCAAATTACTTGAGATAAGATGATGACAGATGATTTTGTTAAGTACGAGTATGTACAATATTATTTTCAAATTACTTTTTTTTGTTATTTATTATTTATATAAAAAATACACAAGTTCAGGCCCGGCTCAAGTGTTTAAACAAACATAGGCGAAATTTAATTTTTGCCGCCTCTTACGTGTAAATATTTTATCAAATATTATTTTTTTATAGGTACATAAAAAATTTCCAGGAAAAATGCCGCCCTAGGCGTGGGCCTATGTCGCCTACCACTTGAGCCAGGCCTGCACACGTTATAAAATATATATGTAGGATTATTGGATAATATATGTTAACCGTGTATTCGATTATCCGACAAGGTTCCGGTCTCGTAGCTGACGATTAATCGAGTTTCTACTGTACCATTAAAGACATGAAAAAAAACATTTATCTCAATACGATTTTAAATTTTAGATTGTTTTATAGAAGAATACACAATTTTATTTTACAAGTTAAAAAATATACTTATTTTCAAATAAGTTCAAATTCAAACATTTTCTAATTAAAGTAATTTAATTTTTCAAGTATTAATTAAATACCAAGAAAACTTAAAATTATTATAAATATTTATTACTTAATTAAATCGCTTTAAACATTTATAAATTAGGATATTAAATAGTATAAATAGAAATAAATCTAAAATTATTTAGTAACCATTAAATATCAAATGGAAGTAAATATTTTTAAAATAAAAATTAATTGATGAAACATTTTTGATTAAAAAGAATAATACTTATATCTAACTAGAAATTTGTTTATCTTTTAAAAAATAAACTAGAAACTTTGTTTATAATTTCATTCAATACTTTCACGCTATTTCCAAATTATTATTACATTTATATACCAGGGAAATTGTTTTTTATTTTAAGAGGTTTTATATTAATTAAATAAACGTAAATATTTATAAATAACAATATTCTACTTCAAATGTTTGTGACTCATGACTACGTACTTTAGTTAGACTACAAATGTATTTGAATAAAGATCAAATTAATTCTGAATTAAGTACAGTGCTATCTATAGTAATTTTTTGTAAAGCATTGTTGTTATTGCAAGAAACAGTAAACACAATTCAATTCATAAAACTAAGTATGTATATGTCTCATTTTCCATCAAAATGTTATTAAGTGTTACTTATTTATTTTTCTACTCAATTTTCTATAATAAATGTATAACCCTTTTATAATTAAAAATAAAACGAAAACACAAGTTTGCTTCATTATGCATTAAGCTATGTTGTATTTTTTTTTTTTTTTTTTTTTTAGTATAAAAAAATCTATCAGTGAATTTTAATTAATCTTAAGCATTGAAAATAATGTATTGCTTGAAAAATCATACTTGTGATCTTTAACAAGAAGCTTTTTGATGAAGTCCTTTGCGTCGTTGGATATCGAATCGAATGCTTCGTCATCAAAATCATATTGAGCAATTGTTACGTTTGCCATTGTTTCCACATCGGTTTCTCCCATGAACGGTGACAGACCCGATAATCTATATTCAACGGGGGATCAAATCAAACTTAAATATCGATTCCAATAAGATATTATAAATATACAACTTACAATACATAGCAAATTACCCCAACAGACCACATATCTGTACCGAAACCAATAGCATCAAAGTTTACTACCTCTGGCGCAACAAATTCTGGTGTGCCAAATAGTACTTGAAGTTTATTTTCTGGATTAAATTTTCTGGCTAAACCAAAATCAATGATTTTTATACGATTTCCAGTTTTAGTCAAACAAAGTATATTTTCTGGCTGAAATTAGAAAACGAAATTTTGGTAAACTTGAAAGTAGGTATAATCAGTGGTGTTCCCATAAGATATACCACGTATACTCTCAATATTATTTTGAAAATTCAAGGATATACTACGCATACTCTCAATACTCGAGGATTTTACGGAGAAGAATTAAATGTAATTCGTTTTACAAGATCCCATTTAGGTATTATTTTGTCAGACGATTAGTATATTACAATTATTATTATATTAAGTACCTAATTATTGACGATGTATTTACGACGGTATCAATTTATTTAAATAATTTTAATTTCTAATTCTGTAAAAAATAAAAATGTATACATTTTAGATGTTCGTTAATATTTACAACCTTTTCCCACCACCATTACCGTATAATAAAAATGTGTATATTCAAACACTCATTGGCATAGTATACTCTCAACAAAATGGATGGGAACATCACTGGGTATAATGAAGATGAAATTATCCATTAGAATTTTTATTTTGTTATAGGTTGACATTTGAAAATCAGCATCATTGCATAAAACGTAGAATATATAGTACCTTAAGATCGAGATGAAGTATATTTTTTGAATGAATAAACTGTACCCCTTCACATATCTGACGCATAAAAATCGTCACAGCTTTTTCAGTTAATACAAAATCATCACCAATCACTCGTTCAAATAATTCACCTCCCTCGACACTAAAATAAACATTACACATTAACATTTCACATATATCATTAAATATAATAATAAAGCTAAAATTACAGTTCTAAAATAAAACACATCGCATTATTTGCTTCAAACGCATCGTAAAGTTGTATCAATCTCGGATGTTGAAGTTCACACATTATTTCTACTTCCCTTTCTACGTTTCGGCGATCTTGTTTGTGTGCAATACCGACAAATTTGGCAGCCAACATAAGACTTGTAGCCTTTTCTCGACATTTAAAAACTGTACCAAATTTCCCCCTTAAAAAAAAAAAAACAAATACATGTATTATTATAGTTTGTCAACAACAACGTTTAATCTACAACTTATTAATTTACTCTATTTTTATTTTGACAACAGACATTTAAAATTCAAGTATTTTTAATCTTAAATATGACTAGACGAAAGTGACCTTGGTTATAAATCAAGTTGTTGTAAATAATTCTTCAAACTAGATTTTATAAATTCTATTTAAAAAAAACTTTATGACGATTTTAAATTACTTTTCAAAATCCTAATCGCAACAATAGATATATATATTGCGCGTGTGATAGAAAGAGAAAGAAAATCATAGCTTGCAATCCTCCAAATTATTAAAGATTTCAATGATAATACTACAACATACATAATAATTTTGATCAGTGATTTAATTTAAGTTATTTAATGTGTTGGCTTATTTTACAAAATATATCGTATTATGTATTTCATCATAATTTATTTCTTTATAGTAGTTACATAACATATTAATATGATAGCATATGAATATTGGGGTGGCTTCCTAAGCCCTGACACTAACTGCAAACACAATCAACATTATTATAGTTACCTACATTAATTAATTAGCTACCTATATTAATTATTATATATTTTTATTTTTTTTCATATTTGGCACTCTTTACGTTTTAATCAACGATCTAAAGATCCGGATGAATAATTATGCATTTGTAGTATTTGCCCCGGAGACCAGAGTAATGCCCCCTAATGTATGTAGGTCCCGAGACCCATGAGATCAGTGCAATTGCATCACTTAGTACCCTACGTGAGCGCCACTGATATAAATACAAAATACGGTAAGCGAAAAAATATTATATTTATAATGTATTTTTTTGTTTCTATAATAATAGAAAAATAGTAACGAATAATGTTGCCATTTAATTTGTGAAATATAAAGAAACTGAAACTGTTCTCTTTTTAGAAATATATAGTCATAGAAAATCCATTTTTTTGCACTAGTCGTTCGCGGGGGCCTTAATAATATTTAAAATGTATAATTATAATATAACTAATTATGTACTCACACCCAGTGCCGGCCCAATGGATTGTAGGGCCCGGTACAGAATTTTGCGGGACCCCACATATATATATATATATTATATTTTTATACAATTGTATATATGCCTTGATTTTCATCGATAATAATATGAAATTACTTATAGTAGAGATGTGTCGTTCATGAACGAACTAGTTCAATTGAACTATTCACCCAAGTGACTGGTTCGTACTGGTTCACTTTTGATGAACGACTCGTTCACTTTGTACGAGCTAGTACCTTAATCGTTCATGAACGATTCATTGATACGGAGTAATAATTATTGAACTAGTTCGTTCATGAACAATTCTTTGATACGGAGTACGTATTCATAGGAACGAATCGTCAAATATATGAACGATGAACGACTGAACTAGTTCACCCTAATGAACGATAAGTCCCATCTCTAACTTATAGTCATATTCGTGAATCATAGTACGCGGGGCCGGTGCAACTGCATTGCTCGACATCCCCCACCACAATAGGATCGGCATTATCTATACACGGATATGTACAGTGTATCCACCATGAAAAAAATTAATTTTATTGGCAGGAAATTAAGAGTTTAACCACTTTTGTATCATAATATTGGTCACACTGTAAAACTCTCCTACCGTATCCAAAATATGTTATGCTGAATCATGAATTGTATATTTTGTTATCAATAATGTGTTCCGTGATATAGTTATTTTGTATTATTCAGGACTCATCAAACCAAACATTTAACTTCGATACTGAACACGATACTCTAGTTAGTTTCCGTGAACGTTTCATATATTCATGTAAGTATTAAACATTATTGTGTATTTACCGTTCAATACTCGTCTTGTTACCGAAAATATTCTACAGCAGTGTATACTTTTATTCTGTTTAGTACTCAAATATCTTGATCATTATTTGGACTCAATGACTCATTAAAAATACCTACTGTAGATCCTTTTGTTCTTTAATTTAACAATTGTTTAATAGTAAATTAAATATATTGCTTTGAAAAGTGTATGATATAACTAAAATATTTGCTTTTTTACTATAAGATTAAATTTTAAATGTCGGAATAAAAATATTTTATAAAAAAAATAAGATTCTTTACCTTTTGTGTCACCCGTATCCTTGTACAGACAGTCATAGACATCTTATGCCCCCCTTTATGAGTTTATGTGCCAAAAAATATTATTTCAATTACTAATTTTTTGTGTACATCAATAATATCTATGCTTATTGGTTATCTGTACGACTAGGAAGAAAAGAATATCGTTGTTGACCACATATTAAAAGCTTTTAATTTTAATTATATATATATTTTTCTTATGTAAATCTATATAAATAAAAAAATATATAATGTATAAATATTATTTATAATATATATAATTATGAATTTAAATATTAATAGTTGATAATTGTCATATTTAGCATTTATTATCAACAATGGGTAAATTATAATTGTTTATAATATTGATTAAAAATCATAATGTATTTTATTATGTACTTTATTTATTTTTAAGTATATAGTAAATAATAAGTATTCAAAGATATTTACTCCATATAATAAATACATTTCCATGTTTAAATATAAAGCATATTTCTTATTTGGTTAACAGATTCATTAAATTAACAGTTTAAAGTATTAAGTATTTAATTTATTTTTTCATGAGTGAAGTTTACTATCAATGATTTACATTTTATGAAATATGATATAATTAATTTTGGAGTAGATATTAATTTTTGATTACATAGAATCTATCCTTAAACCAAACTTTCCAACCATGGAGATAAATAATTTTAAAATTTGTTATTAATTTTAACTATATAATTTCATCTTATAGTTTAATTGATATTCATTTTAGTATGTGCGTTTTGTTAACAAATTTAATTGTTTCTTATATTGGAATAAAAATGCATTAAATATACATAAATTGAATTTTAATTATTTAAAAATTGAATAAAATAAAATTAGGTTTTTTACAATATAATTATAATATATTTATAAAATAATTATTCTGATATTTAATAAAATAATAAAAAATATTTATAAATGTCAACAGTTTTTTTTTTATCATATATTTATACATGTTTACATTAAATAGTAATTTAGTGCATTTTGATTTAATAAATTAGTTGTGCAAATATATCTTTAAAATAGTAATATTGTTTTTCATAACCAGAACTCATAACTTATAGCTCAAAAAAAAATAGTTATAAGCGCTATAACATGCTCTTAAAAATATTCATATAAGTGCTTAAATATGCACTAAAAATACAAAAATATACCATGTAAAAAATTTAATTTTCATTTATTATTAAAATTCCATCGCGTCGCTATATGATATAAATAAATATATAATTTAAACTTAAAGAAGAAGAAAAGAATTAATTATATATTTAAAAATTAATACTACTATAATTACTTTTTATCATTAAATAAAATGTTTTAAATGCTACGGAACTGAACAAGACTTAAAAAAGCAAAATAGCAAATAACAAATTTCTAAATATGCAAGAATAAGTCTGCAAAATAGCACTTATACTTTGAAATATGCAAAAATATGCAACATAAAATTTTGCATTTATCTTCTTGGTTATCTAAAACAAATGTATAGCTTACTTAGGTATTTCTAGGGTCTCTAAAAAAAAATATGTAAATGCTATAAGTTATGAGCCCTGCTCATAACATATTATGTATATTCCAAACAAAAAATTATTTGTTTTATTTTAAATAATAAGTTATAAATTTTGAAGTAATTATCTTTTGAAAGAATTTTCATAATAGTATTACCATAGAGTTGAAGTTGTTTTTAAACAGTTGGCATTAAAAGCTTTATGTATTTTATAAATAGCTTAAAGCCAACTAACATGGTCGTGATGGTCATTATCACATTGTTGGAATATTTTAGCTAACTCTCTAGTGCCAGTAAATAATAATTTATTTTGTGCACAACCTACGGTTTTATAATTTATCTATTTAGCATTATTTGTATACATAATTAATTATTTTTGCTTTAGGTTTTTTTTTTTTTTTTTTTTTTAGTATCATAATTATTAAAGTTAATTTTTGCAATTAAAGTATACTTGACATATGTGCTATTATTTTATTTATTTATTGAACTTATATTTATTTTAGGAGATATCATAGATTCATATTTATTGTGACTCATCAATTTATTTTTTAGTTTTTGAATTATTTATCGGTTCAGCTGCTCTATAATCATACATAAGTTTATAATAAAACATAATTTACAAATTTTCTGAAATTCTTACCGTCCAATTTCAGACTGTAGTTCATAATGTTCTTTCATGTCTACTCCTCTACGAATCGTAATATCTTTAAAAGGAAAACTAGGTTCCAGTTCTAGAAATATAATTAAAAAAATGTATTAATTATAATTGAAAATATATATATATATATATATATATATATATATATATATATATATGTAAAATACAATATATAATTTTTGTTTTTAGCTTATCATGGCACAAGTTCAAGAGGAAGAACTCGAAGAGTTACAAACTAAAAAATTGTGGCATCAATTAACTCTGAAGCTTCTAGCTTATGTAAAAGATCCAGAGCATCAAAGTAATGTTAACTTGCTGAAATTTTACAACAGATATGTTCAGCCCATTGAAACTAAAATGAATGCTTTCGCTTTGGTTGAAATAGTTTCATATGTTATTCCATATTTCCATGAACCACAAGATGCAGTTTTATTTTTAGAAATGTTGGAACCTAAAATTAAAGACAAAATTGAAGCTTTAATTTTTGCAAAAGTTTTAAGAGGTGAAATACTTTTGGACAAAATGAAAAATCAACCAGACTGTTTGGTAATTATAACTGATGTTGACAAACTGCTAAGTGATTTGGATGAAATATCTCCTGTTCATAGCAGATATTATTTGTTAGCTAGTCACCTATACCGAATTCAAGGAAAGCATACAGAATACTACCGGACTTGTTTGAAGTACTTGGGGTCAATTGATTTATCTACAATTAGCCCCCCTGATCAATTGAGAAATGCATTTTTATTGGGACTTGCTGCATTACTTAGTGATGACATTTATAATTTGGGTGAATTGCTCATGCATCCTATTTTGGATTCATTAACCAACACATCAAACTATTGGTTAGTAGAATTATTAAACGCATTTAACAATGGAGATATTGTAAAATTTGCCAAAATGAAACCTCAATGGGCCTCCATACCAGATATAGCTGTTCAAGAACATAAGCTTCGACAAAAAATATCTCTTCTGTGTTTGATGGAAATGACATTCAAGCGACAAGCGAAAAATCGATGTTTATCGTTCCAAGAAATTGCACAAGAGACACAATTGTCATTGGATCAAATTGAGATGTTGGTTATGAAAGCATTATCATTAGGTCTTGTAAAAGGTAAAATTGACCAAGTCAGTGAAGGTGTATACTTGGAATGGGTTCAACCTAGAGTGATGAACAAAACTCCGATAGCTGGTATGATCAGTAGACTAGATTCATGGTGCACAGAAGTGAAGAGTATGCAGTATAGAATGCAAGATGAAGCTCAAGAGTTTTTGAAAGTTTAAATTTAATAGCTTCCTTATTATGAATGATTTTGTTTGCAAGTGTAATTTTATAATATATCTAACACAAAAATGTATTTTATAAGAAATTATGTAAAAATTATAATAAACATACAAAATATATTATTCATGACAAGCTTATATTTTTATTTTTTTATTTACTCATTAATCGTTAATATTACTCTGTGTATCAATGTACGATACAATTTACAATGAATGAATTTTTTTTTTAAATTTAATCAAATTGTACAAAACACTTTCTCTTGGGCAACACGATTTGGCGGGCAATCAAAAAACTACCTATATAAATTTAGTGTTGGAATGACCAATGATTTTATCCCTAATCTGGTCTATTAAGTTTGTGAAATATGTTTACGTGATTTTTCGGTTGTTTCCTCAACAAGATCGTCAACACTATGCCAGAACGATAGGAAATTCGATTGGCAGTAGTTCAAATGATTGGTGAATAATACACAAGCGGTTAGCGTCATTCATTTTACACACTGATCTATGGGTATGCACGACGAGCATTGCATTTCTCGATGTCGGACCCGGCTGACTTTTAAAAATAGGTGAATTTTTCGTATTTTACAGGGACGGAAAACAAAAAAAAAAAAAAATTAAAAATGGTTATTGTTGCCAGAATAAAAAAAAAGGAAAATTTTTCGTTGATACCATAGTGTGTGTTAATATAGTGTGATACAATGTGATAAAATTACGCAAACGTAGAAAAACAGCGTCGGAGGAGGAAAATGCGTATCGGCCGGTTGTCTAATTTTAGCGCAGCCGCTACATTATTATTATATTATGGTGTCGTCGCCACGCAAATACTCGATGTGCGACGGACCAGAGCTCGGACAAACGGTTCGGACGTACACATAACCACGTTGTAAGACTCGTGCGGTTTCCTGAATCAGCGTGTTTACCGGCGCGAGTTAAGCGCGCACAAGTGTGGAGGGGGAGGCTTGCCTAAAATTACCGAACTCGAGTGCAGTTGATAGGTCTTGATTCGTCAGAGCGCGTCTAGGTAAACCGTTTTAACCATTACATTATGATTATTATCATCGCAAGCCAAGTTTTGCACTTTATTTTCGGATCCCCGTATCGGGAGAAAAAAAAAACGTTAAATTATGATTATATTTGATAACATTAAAGTATACTCTTGGCATTAATCTTGAATGCTTGGTATAAATATTTATTCATTCCTGCGTGTGTATTAAATGCAGAGGCTCGATGGTGTTTTCGCGAAGAATCTCAAGTGTTGGGGAAAAGCCATTCCTGCCAAACCTTGCGTAGCCGCACGCTTTGTTCGAATTGCATTCAATTATTACGAGTATTTCAACGCGGTTTAATAACCCTCTCCGAGGTAAAACTTATTAAACATATATTATAAATATGATGATTAAATCCATCAAACGGTTGGCGATGGTTCTTATACATTTATAATATCAGAACTACTAATATTTTTAAGAATCGTTTTTAATCCTACTCGTTCAATAAAAAAAACTTAATCGACATTGCAGTTGTAATTCAGAGATAATTGTAAGATTCAAATTTCAAAGCTCACAAGATTTTTTTTATCATTCAATACTATAGCAGCTGATTAGATATCGTGATCGACCGTATTATTAGTAAATTACATTTTATTTAATTACATTTTCGTTTTTGTCCCTATTGATTTTTTTTAAAAATGAATTGGTAGGTTGAAAAACAAATGTTTCGAAATTTATGTTTTGATTAATTTTAGGAACAAGATTAAAATTTGTTAAGGACAATCTCTCAAGTACACTTCGTGACGAATTTAAATCCAAAATTCTAAGCGCCCCGATCGATTCATACATACGTCGAACAAATCTGGGCACTTTGAATTTTATTTATTTATATTTTTTTTGTATTCGTTTCCATGCTTATATCTCGGATTGACAAAACGACCGAATAACTTGAAAAAACCTCTGTTGGTAATGTATTTTTATTAATATCATATATTTAAAGTATAATATTAAACGCATAATAACACGGTATGCATTACCGTGCTATCTACTATAATACTAAAAACATCATAATAATTAAATAATTGGTCAATCACTGTTAATCGTTACGCGAGATAACATTTGTAATGTTTTTCTAAACTCTGTTATTCCGTTGACATGCCATTGTCGACCGCGAGTTCATAAATCGACGCGAGATCGGTAATTTTAGCCTAGTGCTGCCGCCGCGTAGTGAAATCCCTCCGACGGACGACGTACACGCACGCGGACGCGCAGCTCTCTGCGACGGAATTCTTTTATCGTTTACGCACCGTGTATTCTGTCGTATTATGATTTTTTTTAGATACACCGAGATAAATAATCCGCACACCGAACGGCGCAAACCTTTATTTGCCGCGAAGCTGTTTATATTTTTACCGTGTACGCTGCCCACCTTTTGGATAAGACACATTGTATTTATATATGTCTAAAGACGTATAAAGTATACGTGAGCACTCGAATAAACAAAAATTATTTTTCCTACCGCCCACTGTTGCTCATGTTCTAATATATTTTTGACAACAGTATCAGTGAATGCGAATACGGAAACAAGAAAAAAATGTATTTCACACTATACGCGTCACTCTTTTATTACTTTCCGAATTGGTATCGACAGTATCGTGATTTCTATTATTGATCGAAAAGCATTGATTTCTCCAAATCGAATTTTATAAACTATACAATTTATGCTTTACACAGAGTACAAAAACATCGTATTTACAACACCACGCGTGACAATGACCAACATAATATTATAAGTAAATCTCGAGTTGTAATAACACTAATAATAAATATATAATATTAAATAATGTAATGTTATTAAAATGAAAAATAACTTGTTTACCTCCAACTGGATCCGATTCGTCTACTTTAATCATGGTTAGGTTTGGCTCTATATTATAGGCGGTAGAACAGCACTAGATACAGGTATTTCTTCTATTTACGTTTTCTGAAATGAAAAACCAAAACTTACATGAAGAAACATTAAAATAACAAATCGGACAAATGACATGAATTATAGTTGGTTTTGAAACTAATTGTTTTAGCGCCTTTTATCATAACAGCGTCGAGTACGACCATGAAAACCCCTTTCGGTTCACTATATGTATAAAATATATACATATGTGTGTGTATATATTATATGTATGTGTATATACACACACAGTCAGTGGCGTACATTCAATCTTGCTCTGGGGGGGTTTAACAAAAATAATCGTTATCTTTTTTTTTTTTTTCATTGATAAGATAAATAACTGCTATAAATAGATATTATTTTATACAACTTTTTTACCAATTTACTGTTTACATTACAGTAAATTAATAGCTATTGGAATATAAAAACAGCTAGTCAACAAAACTTTTCAATCACCTATCAATTTAATTATTTAATTATCATAATATTTGTTTAGTTGTATATTTTAAGTTCATAGCGTAATAATGAAACTACGAGTATATTACACGTCATCAATAATAAAACAATTTTTTTTTTTGCTCTAGGGGGGGTTGAACTCGGACCCCCCCCCCCGTATGTACACCACTGCACACTGTAGATTCCATCTCGAATAAATTAAAAAATTTCAAATTGCTTAGAATTTACGTCGAGAATATATTTTAATTTTAATTCCAAATAGGAAATTTTGTTTGTATGATAATAACAGATATTTCTTAATTGAATATATATATACATATATCTGTGATGACAATCTACATATGTTTAATTATCTTGTTTCTAATTATTGTTTTAAAAACTTCAGAAATAATCCTGAATGATGCTATTTCTAAATAAAAATAAATATTTCATATTCAATATTTTTTTCTTTTTTCAGCTTATTAAAAAATCTTAACACAACAAATCTTCCAACACCACGAAACAATTTAAATTAAAACGAATAACCATTTAAAATAACAGGTATGGTGTATAGATTAAATGTTTTTAACATAAACGCAATTGAAACTCAAATATTGGAAATGTTGAAAATAAAATTGAGGTATTTCACAATTATTATAAATTTAACTAAAAAAAAAACCTGGGGTGCTAAATTTCAACTCAAGAGTGCTAAAGATGAGAATAATAGGTATATTATAATTTATAGACTATGTAATCGCGTAGTTAGTAAGTATAAAAGTGCACTTGCGACATCTGAAATATTATATCAATTATAACTGTGGAAAACATTTTTTTTCAAATCAAATGGATTCGAGGGAAATTAAATAAGGCTTTATATTTTAGTGAAATTGTATTGTAGTCGTACAATAAATAAAAAGTAAACCGTATAATATTTAATTTATAGAGAGGTAAAATAAATTAGTTTTGTGGCCTAAGCAATTTTGAGATATTATTTATTGAACGTATAATGTAATTTTTTATTACACGTTTGATTTGAAAATGTCATAGTTCCTTAAAATGACTGTTTTTAAGGATGGATCTTGTACTAGGGAATTATATTATGCATTCAATAAAAAATATCTTTAAATTGCCTAGACCACGAAAATACCTTACTTCATTCTATTCGATACATATTGGATATATTAAGTAAAAGGAATTATGATTCTAGACTAAACAATAAATCATTTTAAAGTAGTTTCCATTATTTAATTAATGAACAGAATTGAAATATTTAAGATTGATGCTATTGCGTTTGGCGGAAAACCTACTCGTACTAATACTCAAGGCCGTTTAACACCACGGGACAACTATAAAATTATACCAAATAATCATTATACCAAATATAAATTTCTGCGGGTTGAAAAAGATCTTTCTGAAGAACAATTCGTTGCTGGTGTACTCAAAAACATTTTAAGTGTAATGTCAACATAAGGATAGATTGTTTGTAAATCTTTGGATCTATCGACAGTACTCGACCGTTCCCGAGTATGTGTGTGTGTGTGTGTGTGTGTGTGTCGTAACGCCGTGATTGGCGGTATATATATATATTTTTTTGAGATACACTTATTATTTTGTAAAGGAGTTTCACTTCAAAAATATTAGATCATTAAATATTGAAAATATAAAAAAAATTAGCTGCCCTCTCATATTCAGCCGCCCGGGGCAACAGCACCCTGTTGCTCCCCCATAAATACGGCCCTGCTAATACCTGCTCGTTAATTGTACGATTTAAGTCGTTTGCGTAATCAAATAAGTACATCGCGTTTTCGGTCTTGAAAAAGAATATGTATTTTGCAAAATAAATTTTCCATTCAAAATAACAGAAAATGGTTTAATTACGTTTTTATCATTCTGGTGTATCGAATACAACTAGATATTAGAGACTGGTATCGCCGAGTACAGACGATTTGAGGTATTACATTTTTTCGGAGGTAGCAGAAAACAATATAAAACTGTCGTTTAAGCGGTCAGCGAAAACACATCTAGTCCCATAGCTTCAGTCAATAACTTCTAGGTAATCAGGTAAAATTAGAGCATAATATTGGTAATCAAATTAATAGTGATGAAAAATTACAAATTTAGTCCGTACGTTACCAATTGTAATTGGAATAAATCCATACCGTTTGTCAAGTAAACATTCGGCGCGTCAGAATAAAATTAAATGTACCTACTGCGATACTGCAACCAACATCCGTTAAGCGAGTTCTGTAAAACGTTGGACTTTCATTCAAAAATAAAAACCGATGATACAGATTACATCCAATACTATGCATTTTTGAAGTCAAACGACGTAGGAACCTCAAATTAAATCTAACCCCAGGACACCAATGACTAATGCCGTTGTGAAATCGACGTAGACCTGGGTAATGAGAAGAAGGGTTGTCGTAAAAAAAAAATATGCTACTGTTTAGTACAAACACAAGTTTCGACGCCTATAGAGGTTAAATCTCCTAAACACGGAGCACTGAACTATTTTCAAACCTCGAAATTAGGTAAATCCGCCAGAACGCTGTGCGTTTAGTAGTGTAGAAAGTTTTACCAACACCCTTGGCAACTTCGAAAAAATCACCTTTGTTGACCGGTAAAAATGTGTTTGAAGGAGAATTTTGAAAGCCCCCTTGAAGTAGGTTTGAAGTCCAATTTTGTACGGCAATCGTAACAATACCCAGATCGTGTAAAAATAAACAAACATTTACGCGTGGACATAATATGATAATTTTAATTTCATTATGTGAAGTAATAATATCCCGTACTCGACGGAGTTTTTCTGATAACGAAAATGATCACGAATCGCCGCGTCGTCGATTACCGATGAATAGGGCAGAGGACTTGAAGCATTTGCATACTTGTTTTGCACAGTCACAAAAATACGAAAGAGTACGAAACAAATATGTTTTATGCATTCACAAAGTTAATTTTGAAACTTTATTTTGCATATAAATGCGTATTTTGAGTCATTTTTGGTTTTAGAGCATATTTTACACTTTTATACGCTATTTTATACTTTTTTAAGACATATTTAACTTAAATTGATTTTTTCTAAAGTGATATTTTTATTTCAAACAATACAGTCAGAATTTTTGGATAAAAATGTATTTATTTTTAATTTTTGTCGTATAATATGGTTTTTGACTGTCCGCGGGCACACATTTTTCTTAGAAGTGATAACGATCTAACGTCGTTTCTTTAGAGAAAATTAAGAAAATTAAGTAAAATGTATTTTGTTTATTTGACTATGGTATATAATATATTTAAATTATGTAATTGTTTTGCTTTGTCTTTAATGCTATTTATTTTATTAATTCTTTTAAATAAAAAGGCTAAAAAAAGTACATATTATGGGGTTTTTAAGTACATAAGTGCTTGTATATTTAGAGCTTTTTTAGAGCTACAAGTCCACTGCCCTACCGATGAACATTAATTGTATAATATATTAATCGGATAACCGCCGGTTAAGAATACCGCAAAAACTGTGTTTTTTTTATCATTACCGATTCATGATGAATGATCGTAAAAACAACAACGTACGAAATTTAAACATTCCAAAGTGCGCCTACCTGTTGCAGCGAATATAGTGAGCCGATGGCACGGGTGAGTTGAGCCGCCGGAGAGACAGGGATATTCTTGAAGACAATAATAAAGTACGAAGGACGTCGTCGGTGGAGTCCTCGCAAAGACGAACACGGTGGTGCGGACTCGACGAATAGTACTGCGGCACAACAACCGCGAATTACGATGGTGACGACCGGCCACCGGACGACGACAACGGGCGAACTATCAAACGACGACCTACAAGCACGCCGGTAGCGCGCAAAATGTACGACTATCATGTTGTACGCGCGAGTTCGTAAATAAAAACGTCGTCGCACAGGACGAGCGCGCTCGCGTCAAACGGCAAAACTATATAAAAAAAAAAAAATGTAATAAAACTATAACGGTAATAGAACAATGATTATTAAATTTAGTCTAGTCTATGATAAAGGTGATATCTATATATAGCCTATAAGTACAAAATTTGAATACAGTGAAACCTCTCTTAACGGACACCTCTAAATAGTGGACATCTTTTGGGGACCGAGGACATTTTCACTACTTTTCTACAGAAAAACCTCTAAATAACGGACACTTTTATGGAACTTTAACTTTTGATTTTAATCATTTTTATCATAAATTTAGAAAAATAATTGTGGAATGTGTACTAGATATAAGTCTAGAAAATTGTATATTATTGATATTACCATATTATACATTAATAAACTGTTATATCTTATCTTATCCATCCAATCATGGACATTTTATGACATTGAAGTTGGAAGCAAGGCCGTCCCGAAGATGAAAATCAAGGGGGGGGTGAATATTATGAAAAATGCCGACCACAATTTTTTTACTCATTGTATGTTGTATAATAAATTATATGTAGTCGTATTTATACTTTTTAACATTTATATATGTATTAGTGTCTCACGTTCTTAAAATTGACAATTTAATTATATTTATATATATATATATATATATATTATAATATTTTATATTGTATAATAAGTAATATAAATTTTATTCGTGAATGTACTATGTGTATTACAAAATATGTAATATTTGTTTTCCGTAAGTAAAATTAGGTCCTTCTAGGCCAAGGGTCGGCAATAGGCGGCCCGTGGGCCATGTCCGACAAGCGGAAGAGAAATAACTGGACCGCCAAAAGTTGTCTTAATTTTCCTATATATCCTATGTATCACTCCCCCTGCGTTCATAACAAAAATTAAACTAATATTGAAATCGATTTCATTAGGCGCTGAGGCAATAATAATGGTTTATAATTATCTGTAATCTGTGTTGTTGTTGAACGTGCCACAGTCACGGCTGCGGGCCGAGTCACTTGCATTCGCGTGTGTGTGTGTAAAATACAATATTCAGAGGCGATCTATTTTTATGATTTATTAGGAAATTACGATAGCGTTCATCGTATACCGCTGTTTGTAATAGTCACGATAACAGAACACCTACATTGAACCTACTTCTTGAAACATAAATATTATTTAGTTCAATTTAATCGTTTTCGCGTTACATTTGTCGTTCGTCGAGAAATTATTATTATAATTATTCGTATTCGTAGTCCATCGCGTACGTAGTGTTAAAACTTATTTATTTATAAATATTATTCATGTGCAATTGAGTATGTTTTCCAAAAAACGTAAAGTTGATAATGAAAACAGAAAGTTTCTGGCTGAGTGGACCGAACAATATTGTTTTACACTTCCAGTAAAACCTCGAGCCGTTCCAGTTTGTCTCATATGCAACAGTACAGTTGTTGTCGTTAAATGTGCTGATTTAAAGTGTCATTATGATACAATGCATAAAGATTTTGAAAAAAAATTTCCTCTTGACAGTGCAGCGCGTAAAAATAAGCTCCAAGCGTATCTCTTGTCTTATAAAAATAGTACGACTATGTTAGTACAAAGTATGAGTGGACAAGAAAAGTCAGTAGAAGCAGCATTGCGTGTTTGCTGGACGTTAAATAAGCACCAAAAACCATTTACAGACTCAGAAATTGTAAACGAGTGTATGTTGGAAGTAGCCACTGCACTTTTTGAAGAAAAAAAGCACATAATTAATGCTATTCAAAGTATTCCTCTATCAGCAAGAAGCAATACAAGAAGAACAGAATTATTGGCCGATGACAACAAAAATAATTTAATTCACATTTTAGAGATGGCTTCTTGCTACGCTATTGCAATTGATGAGTCATGTGATATTGTTGATTCCGAGCAGATGTCAATTTTTGTGCGTTTTTTAGACGTTGAAAGTAAAGTATTTAGAGACGAGTTGCTAGCATTATTGCCATTGAAATGCTAGACTCGAGGAGAAGATTTGTTTAAAACTTTTGACGACTTCATGACTAAATCAAATATTAATTATGATAAAATTGTGTCTATTTTAACCGATGGCGCACCGGCAATGGTTGGTAAAGAAAAGGGATTTTTTAAGAGAATCAAGGATAAGAATGCTGAAATACTTTCATATCAATGTATAATTCATCAAACATCCCTGTGTGGCAAACTTAGTACAACACTGAAGGAAGTAATGGACATAATGATCAAGTTGATTAATTTTTTGCGGTCCCGATCTGCTCTTCAGCACAGGCCGTTTAAAGATTTTTTATTTGAATGTGATTCAGTGTATTCGGATTTACGTCAACATAACAATGTCCGTTGATTAAGTAAAGGCAAAGTGATCGAACGTTTTTGGAGTATAAAAGAAGAAGTAATCACGTTCTTGGTATACTTGGATTCAGTAGAATCAAAACAGTATCATAAATTCTTAACAAATGAGAGCAATATGCTATCTGTGGCATTTTTAAAAGACATTCTTGGATATTTAAATGTACTTAATACTGAGTTACAAGAGCAAAAAAAGTTAATTTGTGATTTGATATCAAGTGTATCTACATTTCGACGAAAACTTGAAATCTTTGAAGAATATATGAAAAATCAAGATTTTATTCATTTTCCAACAATCCTAGAATATAAAAAGACTTCCGATATAGACTGCAGTATGTTTTTAAGTTTTTTATCGGACCTTGGTGAAGAATTTGGTAAAAGATTCAAAGACTTTGCAGAAATTGGAAAACTGTCTCAATTTTTAAAAAATCCGTTTGAAGTTTCTCCAACTGGAGAATGAATTGATGTTGCTACAAAATTATTCAAACTTCCAAAATCTTCACTTCAAATGGAAATTATTGATTTTCAAGAAGATATCTCATTGCAAATGAATAAAACTTCGTCTACTGAAGACTTTTGGATAAAGCAGGTCTTGGATAAATACATGAACTGTAAAATCCGTGCCATAAAATTAGCTACTATGTTTGGCTCCACTTATGTATGTGAAACTTCGTTTTAAAAAATGACGTTTTTAAAAAACCGATACCGTTCAAGATTAACAGATCACCACCTTGAAAACACTTTACGCATTAGTTGTTCTCAAAGAATACCAGATTTTAAAAAATTGGCTCAAGAAAAGAAGTGTAATTTTTCTCATTAAACTTAAGTATACAATTTTGCTATTATTAGTATGAATGTATAATTACTTTATAAATAATTAAATACTTTGTCTTAAAATGTGTTTTTAATACAAAAATAAATACATTAATAATAAAATTAAGTTTAAGATTTTTTTTGGCTCTCGAAATTTTTTTTTTTAAATATTTGGACCACCATATAAATTAATTGCCGACACCTGTTCTAGGCCTGTTCTAGGCTATAATGAAACAAGTTCGATTACCGACTGGCGTTTTCGTTGAGGGGTGACCCCCCCAAGACCTATATGATATATAGGTCATGGTGACCTCTATGATATCGCGCCTCTAGGTAACGCTAATATTATTCGTTCCAACATATACCTCAAATCGCTAAACAGCTTTTATTATGTCAATTTAGATTTTATAGCGTTATGATTCTTTTATAAATATAATGCAGTAAATAATAATATTTTAATCACAACATTATAATGGTGCATATTAATTAATACGTATAGTAACTGATAATTTTCAAAGCTTGAATTTATAAAAGGTTTTAAATTTATATTACTGCAGGTTTTGCATTCAGTTTTCAAGCTTTATTTCGTTTTTTATAATGATTAGAAAATATACTCGAACGCGGCGAACTGCAAGTATTTGTAGAAAAATGAATAAAAAATGAATGAAATGCGACTAGACGTTTACTTGATTGACCGATTTTATTTTTAAAATTAATTTCTTTCTGCCTAGCGTGAATATATATTTTGGCTGTCTCTCTACAAGTTTTGTTATTGGTATTTTTTATTTTAAACTAAAACGACCCAAATACTTTATGAGTTTATTGATTTTATTTTCATTCATCTGTTGTGACAGTTCTATAGCCGTCAGTTATTTGATTTTCAAAATTTATTTGTGACCCATCGCATGTTATTAAGCCTATGTTTCTATTATGTACTTTTTTTTTATATATTATTCAGTATTAGTTAGTCATCTATAATTATTTGATTTAAGTCATAAAATATTTTATATTTTGTCAAAGATCAATGTGTTTACGCTCATTAAAAGCACATAGACAACTACATAGGCGGGCGCAGACCTCTTTTACAGGATATGCAAAAAGGTGTCACTGCCTACCCCCAACACCACTGACAATTAATTTAAGCGTTCAAAATTCAGGTAAAAATATACAGACAAATATCTAAATACCTAACTATTTAATTTAAAGTTTTAATTTTATTTTCCTAAAAAAATGACTGAATAGCCATTTCCTCATTGTTATAACTATCCTGATAATTAAAATTTAAAATAAATTTCGAAAAAAAAATTAAATACATAACACTTGAAATGGATTGAGTGATATATTTAAATATGGTAAATAATAAAAAACGTGATTAGGAATATACTTAGATTAATAAACAAAATAAATTTAATAAATAATTATAATTGATTATAAAACAATTCTGTGTTCAGTCTAGTTTTTAATATCACCAATGTCTTTGGAATTTTAATTTATTGCTCTATAGTTGAAAGCTATCTAATATATTTTAAAACATAGTACTTCTTAATTTCATTAACACATTAAATCGTTAATATAGTATAAAATTTGAGTTTCAAAAATAAACAAAAATGTCTGGGACTAAATATAGACTAAATATAAAAATATAATAAAAAACATAAAGCAATACAAAATCACATAATATACATTTAAAGACCAAATATGGTGATCAACAGGTCAAAATTACTATCAACCTATCAAGAAATTATTAAATCATCTGACAAATAACTTAGTAACGCTGTTTTAATTGTCGAACATTAGGTTTACTTAAAAATATTAGAAAAAATTCAAAAATATAAACATGAAGTCAATTATTCTTGATTTTGTTAAATTTGATATATCTATCAAGTTGTGCATCTAATTCATCTTTGTATGGCATTTTCTTTTCGCTATTCTTACCATCTCTACCACCACGTCCTCTGGAGTTACCATGGATATTTCCAGGTTTGCCCCGGTTACCTCTTACTCCTATAAAGAAAAAAACAATGCACCGTCGAAGCAAACCGATAACACATTATGCCATTCAATACCTATATTGTTCAATACATCACATAATTCCAAAAAAATAGTTTGAGCATCTCCATGTAATAATCTTCTTAAACAAAAAAATCTTTCAACTGGTTTTTTTTGCTCGGATGAATAATATCGGATAACAAAAGACATTTGCTCATTGTGACCAATGTCACTTGTTTCATCCGCAATGATTGAAACTTTTTTTTCACAAAGTTCAGTAGAAATTTTTCTTCAAATAATATTAAAAATTGATAAAATTAGGTCATTTTGGATATGGTTACTTGTATATAACGCATTTCGAGGTCCATTATCTCAATGAACTTTTAATACTGGATCATATTTTTTAAGCAAATTTACTAATTCTAGAAACAACCCTTGATGTAATTCTGAACTTTTTTCAATATGTCCACAAAATGGACGGCCACCTAGTCCTAAGTATAAAGTAACATCAATAAGACGAAATATTATTTGTCTGTTACACAATTTTTGTTTCACTTTTTGAGCAAGTTGAATTTCATTACCTTTGTCTATCAGAACATCTATAGATTTACAGTTTAAAAAATTACTCATTGAAGTAGTACTGTTTATATGGGACTTGGAAAGCTAATGATTTCTAAACTTTTTAGTTCCTAAATGCCAATTATTAAAACCCAAATGTGAGAATGTCTTATCTCATTGTCCATTATTTTTTCTATAAGAGTGTAAAAAAAACTCTACAGCTGAAACAATAAGCACGATCTAATTTAACACTGTATTCCAGCCAGCTGAAACTCTTAAACCATTCTTTATGAAATTGCCTTAGAGTGCTTGAAATTTTGGTTCTTGCATAGTTTTCAAAAATTGATTGATAAGGACCTCTTTTTATACGATCAGATAATTCAATTTTATTAGAAGGCAAAGGAGTTGCTGAATCTAGAGGAATCAGGAGAATATAATTGGGCTGGTTAGATGGTAAGAGCATAGTACAATCTGAAAGTAATAGTATATGTATATATTTGTAAATTATAACACAGTTAAAACATTAATACAAGCTGAAACAATAAATAAATCTAAACGGAACAATGTTAGTTATACAGCAGTGGTTATAGCAACATACATTAAAACATACATTTTACAGAATTTATAATTATAAATTATTATTATAAATTTGCTTGTAACTGATAAGAGCTACCAAAATAATCAAATAAATAATCAAATGCTATAATACCCACAATTTATTGTTACTGTATTTTTATGAATATAAAATAAAAGCAAATACTTAGTTTTAAATTATAATGTAACTAAAACATTGAATATTGGTACAACAAAAAATAATGACTGGCTATATAACATAATATTTAGGATATACAGCGATGGTGATTAGTGATTACTAATTAGTTAGACACATTAGAACATGAACCAGGTCCCTGTTAAACAACACCAAAAGAATATAATTACATTTAACATTTACTTCATAGAATTTATTAAATTGAAAGTACATATCTTAACCACATAGTACATATCATAATCTATCTTTGAATTGTTTAAGTCTGATTCTTTCTTAATAGCAGGGCTTAAAACCGTTCCTAATAAAGTTGGTAATCGGCTCCGGTAGAGCCGAAAATTTTTTAAAACCAGTAACCGGTTATCGTTTAATTTTGATATTATGGTAACCGGTAACTTTTTCTTTAAGGATACTTCAAAAACTATAATAACCGTTAAGCCGGGTTCACACTACACCGTGACGTGTATTTTACCAGACCGTGTGCTTTGAAAATGTGTGATACCAATATATATCTTATGGTGATGCTATCAAATTTTGGTTATATATTTTTATAGTTTTCTTATTAGATATAAAATATTTTCATAAGTTTCAATAAATAATAACTGAAGAATATTAAATTATGTAGTAGACAGTATGTATTATATTATTATTAGGGCTCCGAACTTAATGCACTTAAAAAGTACTAAATATGCATGCATTTATGCGCTTAAAAAAGTACAAATATGCTTCAAAAATATGCACTTAATTTTTTTTAACACAAAAATGTTCATAAATAAAGATATTTTATTAAATATACGCGTACAAAATAGTACAAATGTTGTTAGTATATTATACTAAGCTAAACATAATTTCCAGGTATACATATATAAGATAAAATGAAATAAAATAAATAATTTGAAATTTAAAATTTTCTTTCAAAATGTTCCCATTAGGTTTTTCATAGTCATGAAAATAATTTCAAGGTTACTTACCAATAAATTGAATAGCCCAATAAAATCATGCAAATGTAACACATTCCGAGCTCTTTGTTATTATGAATAATGTTATCATAGAATATTAAATTATTACCTACTATTAAAATCGGTAACCACACGCTTAAAAGTTGGATAAAATCAACTTCACGGTATCTTATGTTTAATGAGGTAACTTGTGATTTATTATACGGTATATCTTGATGTAACAATATGGTTCAGCCAATCAGAGATAATTATTTTAGAAGACACGACACGGCACGGTGAAGTGTGAACCCGGCTTAAATCGTTTAAAAACCGATAATAAGGTTTTTTGGTAATCGGTTAGCAGTTAAAACCGGTTTTAAAAACATATTTTTCAATTTTTTAATCATATTTTTAAAATAGTTTTTTTAGGTGATTCATGGGTTGATAATATAACTTTTATTATTATAAAATCAAAAATTTAATATGCTTTAATTTGATAGATTTCACTAAATTTCAATATTTTTTTTTCAAACTACTTTAAAGTTTAAAACATTATGATCAAGATAATGATAATCAAAAAACTAAATTACATAAAAAAATTGTATTGTTATAATTTTCTTATTTATAACGGTAAAAAACTGAAATTCAATATAATAATTTTCTAAGATGACACAAAGATTGATACTTTGCCACAGAACTTTTTATTTATATTGTTTATAACCTGGATGAGTAGATAACGACAATATTAAAATATCATAAATAATAAATGGACTAAGTCTCTATTTCACCAACTATTTCGTAATAAGAATCAGCGCGCCATGACGACAACGTTTATGATGGTATTTATGGTGTATAGTTATACCTATACATATATATATATATATATATATATATATATATATATATATATATATATATATGATATTCACAACAGATAAACAATACTCGACGGCCATTAATCGGGGGAAAATATTTAAAAATAGCTGGAAAATTAAATTCAACTATAATAGTATAATGTATCATGACATAATTCAAGTATTAATAACACGAAAAAACCGTTAATTATTTTGGTCGGTATTAGGTTTTGGTTATAAAACCGGGATTGAAAATACGAGGTAATTGCTTTCATGTTAATATTTAGATATTTACCTTATTACCCATAACCAATAACAGCTTCCAGCATTCCAAAACTAAAAATGGTTATCGGTTTTTGCTTCTCAAATTTACGGTTTTTACTGGTTTTCGTTACAAACCGGCTACCGATTTTAAGCTCTGCTCTATAGTATTTTCTAATGTAATATTCTAATGCATTATCAAAAAGAAAAATTGTATTTAATTGACTGAATCAGTAAAACTGTTTACTTTAATATTTTACTTAAATCATTGACTTATGATGATTGATCACACATCAACAACGAGTTATCCGGGTAGTTTGTATTTTTAACAATAAACATTGGATCATCTGGATCATTTGTAGGAACATTTATATCAGAAAATGTATTATATAAAATAAAATTTGTAATTAAATGCATTTAGTATTTTCATAAAATTTTTCTTACCTTATTTTTCTTTAGGTTTGAAAAAATTCAACAGTGTATTTTGTTTTTTTGAAGCCATACCAATTATAATATAATTTCAATTATTACGATTTAAGAATTAAGATTCAGTATATTAATCATAGCACAGAATAAAATTGACATGTCTATGATATTCATTGTTATTATTTTATTAATTGAAAACCAGAATACCAGATAACTGATGTGATAAACACAAAAAATTGGAGGGAAACACTATCAATCAAAAATTCATAGTTATCTCGATGAACGGATTATTATTTGTGTAATTGACAATTGTGTATTATACATAATAATATTATATATTATATATATATAAATAATATGATACAGAATAAATTATACCAACTCTCAATAATCAGTTTTAAATAATTAAACAATGTTTCATCAACAATTTATAGTAGGCACACATTTTTGCTGGGTGTGCAGCTGCACACCCTGCACACTCCGTGCGCACGCCTATGGGCAACTAAATATAATAATATAATTATATTAGTTATGATTTATATTAATTAAGCTATTATTTTGAACATTTTTATTTTTATTTTAAAGTTGCAAAAAAAAAATCTTGATGAAAATTAATTGGTTAATTAGGTCACTACTCTCACATACACTGGTATAAAATCCCAACAATAATTGGCGATTAGTAATGCTTTGTGACATTTCTATAAGGTTGACTATTGTTATTTGATAAAAAAAGAATACTAATCAAACTTGGTTTTTAGTATATCAAGATGAATAATAAAAAAATGATTACCTAAGAATTAATAACTTATCAGAAAACACATTTTCAAAGGCGTTTTACTCGGTAGATCATATTTCTCTTATTCATGTCTTAGATAAGTTAGGCATTCGAGATCGGCTTTTGTTATAGTTTCACTCTTACTTAATTGATAGTTGGCAATTTGTCAACTTAGGCTCTTTACACATTGTACGACCGGATGAGAAAAAAACTGAATAGTGATATTATTTTAGCGGATTAAAAAACATTATAAATTCGGTCATATTACTCGGTCACGGTAAAATAACCCGGCCCTGTACCGTGAGGAGCCGGACGGTGCGTTATATTTGGTGGCGCAATGTTTTCATATTACCATTGATTATAAATACTAGTATTTATAATCAATGATATTACCTAGGTATACGATCTTATTCATATGGTAGAACTAGGATATACATAATTTCATTACAATATTTATTGTGTAATGAAAATGTGATGGACATTAATTTATTCATGTAATATCTCTATACCTCACTAATGGATGTGTTAAATTTGAATAAATGAATGTTTACGCTGAAAACAGCATTTGTGTAACTCATGTTATCATTTTCGTGCGATGCGTAGCAATGCGTTGCGTATCTGCAGCCATCATCGGCGGCCGTGATAAGCATCCGTGTGCTACAAGCCGGATACGTAATCGTATTGTTATCGTCGCGTGTAAGTGTTCGTTATTACACGTTTTCAAGTTTTTGTCGGTTATGTTTTTCAGTAAAAGTTATAGTCATGCTCTCTAGTGTCACAAAGTTCATTAATTTCGTGTGTTTTTCTATTTTGTCTGGTGGTACTGAGGCATTTTATCTTCATTGTGGTGTTCGGCGGTTAAAGCCTTCGTGATGAATGTCGTCGACACCGTCTCGTTCTCGTCTTTGTGTCTTCTGGTGTGCACATTAAATTTCATTTTGTCAAGTGTTCATACTTCCGCAACCATTTTGTTCAAATCACGTTGTCGAGTATTATCATTTTCGTTTGTGAATCGACCGTTTGGTAAAGTATCGTTCGAGGTAATCTAATATTGTCCAGCAATTAATTTCATTATTTTTCAATTTTGCCAGCGATCACTTTGGGAATAACTTAGTTTTCATTCGTTGTGTCATCGTTCAGGACTGTGGATCATTGCAGTTTTTTTGTTGGTGACTGTTTTGTTGATCGTACGTACCAGTCGCTGTGACTTAATTTTTATTAAAAAGAGATTGCCCATTATTGCTGTGGGCTCTTAATTAACCGCACAGATAGGACACATTGTATACGAAAAAGGATTCTGAACGGAGATGATTTGTCAGTCTAGACTCTAGGATATATTATATAACGTATATATATATATATTTTTTTTTTTTTGATACAAGTAATTTATTTTTCAAGTAGGATTTAGGACGGGTTGCACACTTCGGACTTCCATAACCCATACGTTATTACGGAATTTAACTGCAAGAAGTACAACTTATAAGAAACCTTGTATTAAATTTTAAAGATTTATTGGATAGCCAAATTTTTTTTATTGACATTTCAAAAAAAAAAAATGCTCTAAAAAATTGAAAATTTCAATTGTCTATAAATAGCTTAAAAAAAGTCTAAATGTTTTGAAAATTGAATCGTATACAAATATTGATAACTTAAACGTTTAGTGAAAATATCAAGTATTTAAATTGATTGGTTTTTGTGTTACAGCAAATTAAAAAAATCCCTTTTACCAAAAACTAGTTATGCGTAATAATTTTCGTTTTCCGTTACTTTTTTAGGGGTTTTCCTGACGCTTTTGTAAACTTTTGACCCCTAAAGTACCAACTAGATTCGTTTTCCTTTCAGAAACGGGGCTGAAGTCAAAAATTTAAGCACTATTACTGCTCCAAAAGGTAATGACAAATACAAAAAAAAAAATAAAAAACACACATCATTGTAAAATCAATACATTCATCACTTTGTTCAGAATCTAAAATACAAGTATTTAGATTAAATATATAGATTAACATTTTAAATGAGTCGGATGATGGAAAAAATGATTATCTACGTAAAAATATAAAGTAAGTGTTGGAAATTTGAAATCATTATCAACCAAGATCGGTTCATCAAATTTAAAGAAGCACACTGCAGTAAGAAGTACTTTTTTTTAATAGTATTTATTATTAAGTTCATATATTTTTTATTTTTTTCAATTTAAACTTTAAAGTAACGTAATTACTTTTTTTATTGAAAAGTAATTTCATTATATTCAAGTAATGAGTAACGTGTAAAGTATCAAATCCAACATTGCTTTTGAAGCATGAAAAACTTTTGCTTTTTAACTTAATCTTTTTAAATAACGACAGAATTTGATGAAGAATTTATAATTAACCTCGTGCAAGATAGACTAATGTTATGGAACAAATTATATGGAAATAATTAAAAAACTTATTTTCGTAGATCATTAAGTAATGTGTTAAATAAATCCATTTTCACTTTTTTAGATGGGGTAAATCCAAAAAATACTATTTTTCGGATGTTTTTTGCGGCGATATTGTATTACCATCAGTTTTCTTATAAAACTTAGCTTATACACAAGTATACTAAGATGGTTTTTGGAACAGAAAAAAAAATCGTGCAAAAACCATGTATTAATTAGTAGTGGTTGATCGGATTTTTGTCGTTCGGTCAAAATCGTATAATGTATAAACATTATTCGGTGTTACATTTATACCTAAAATGTATAGGAGGTACAAGGTGTCATTAGGAGTTCCTCAAGGTTGAAATTCTTTATTTTTTCTATTTAATCTTTTATTATCAATACTGCAATTCTTCTCAATATTTTTTTTTTTGTCATGGATCATCATAGGCGCAACCAAGGAGGAGGTTTAACCCTCTTAAATTTTTCATAGCTCTTCTAGATTAAAAATAATGAATCTCAGAATTTCGTGTTTGAGATTGAGATAAAATCTTATTATCTATGGAAAATCTATGGACATCTATCTTAATACACGAAATCAAGTTTAACAATTCTTGAATTCGTATACACCATTAATGTGAATTACTGCTGATTTTTTGGGAGGCAATGATAAAGGATAGTCTTGTTAAAATTTTAATTGAACCTATAATAATGAGTATTGACAAAAGTTTTCTGTACCTAAATTAGTAGATGAATTGTGCGGTCTATATTATCTTGGTACTTATAGCCCCCTCTCAAAAATGTAAGCTGTAGTTGTGCATTTGTGCAAGCTTTATTGTAAGGATTTTTTCCAACTGCACAAATAAAATATATGTTACAAGGAGGCTTCGCCCTACACTCTCCACGCTCATTTTATTGATTCTGATGAAGCAGATAATGAATTCAAAGACGTAGAAGTAGCCAACATTGGTTTCACTAACCTAATATTCAAATATTTCGTAATGTTTATAATTTATTTATTTTTATTGATATTTCATGAACGGTCAAATCGTCTTTTATAATAATAAAGTGCACATTTTCGTTAATTCTACAGCACATTTTATTGTTCCTAATGCACAATTAGTGTCCTACTGCACCTTACAATAAAGCCTATTTGTGTACCATTTATCACAGATAACACTACATTTTTGTATCAATTTTCTTCAAGTGATTGGGAAGTTCTTCAATCGTCAATTAATCGTTTTGTCATCTGGTGCAATGATGTCGGCTTAAATTTCAATTCTGATAAATTTAAAGTCTTTGTCCTTTTTTAGATAGGATATTGTGTAATATAGACTGCTGTTATGTGTTACTTAAATTCAGTGCTGGATAAAGGGGAGGGCAAAAGGAATAGTTACCCTTGGTGGTAATTTCTTAACCTTGAAAACGAAAGTTTTGAAATTTTGTAATGTATTTTTATTAAGAATAATTATTAATTATTGAAAAATGTGTATAACAAATAATAATAGTAATATTATATTATATCGCTTACCGAAAAATTTTATGGCGAGTGAACATTTTACGTATTATTTGTATGACCATATTATTATTCGGCGTTTACTAGTTGAGTTTTCAAGACCCTTATTTAGTCTAGATAGGTCCCAGTGTTTTTCAAATAGTACTTATACTAGTTGGGTCCCACAATTTTACAAATACAATTACAAAGTACATTTTATAAGTTAGGGAAAAAAAATTTCACTTTTAATTTTTATAGGACTGTCAGTGATCTATAAATTAGAACATGAATTTTTTTTTAAGTTTCTAATATATGGCATATAATTATTGATTGAAAATTAGAACACTAGTAAATGGAGAATAATTAAAATAAATTATTAAAAAATTTACCTACTCAATTGGTAAAAATTTAAGCAAATGAGCTTTTACAAACTCAAGTCTATTAAAGTTTTAACATTACCAAGTGTGTCAATACTTGTGTTACAGTTTATATTATCAAAGCGATGGGACCAATCCAGCATGTTATGGTTTTTATAGTCGGACCAAACTCGTGTTATCGTTTTTTTAGTTAATTATTAACCAATTAGTTGTTTATTTTTACTATAAATATTATTTTTATACTGCTCTGAATTTCTGAATTTTCTATTTCTTTAGTATTATAGTATTATTTTCGAGTATAAATTGTATACAATATGTTTACAGCAGTAATCACACAAACCCATAATTGTGTTTGTTGTATACCCGTATGGCTGTATTATAATTTATAACTATTAGATTATTAAATTTGATATTTAAATGCTATTTTAAATTTGATATTTAAATGTTATATTAAATGTAATATTCAATTTTAAATGATTTATTAGTACACTACTAAGAATTTTTTTTTATTCTATCGTCTTTCGAGTCTCGTAACCGTAGTCGTAGTCACGTTAACTGTTAAGTCATATTAACTGAAAAACAAACAAGCGGTTTTATTTCAATTACCTAATATGAGTGAAAGACGCATTAAGTTAAGTGATGCTGAATTTTAATATTAGATAATAATTGTTCTATTATATTAAAATTACCGATGTTACGAAATGTTTACAAATATAGACTGATTAAATAATTTTATCACTGTTGTTATTTATACAATTTTTTTATGACGGGTACAATGAGTTTTTAAAGGGCGACATTTTCAAATCTACCTCCAGACGGTATATTCGTTAATCCGGCACAGATTGAGTGGCATGTTAATTAATTTATATTGACTATGAATTCATAAAAAATAACACATTTGTTGTTTGTTTAAATCTAAAAAATAGTTTTCTTATTAGAAAGTTTAATCATGTTTTGCAGTATTGTTATTTGAAATTTATAATATGTACTTTTTTATAGAAAAAATAATAACGATTTGTGGATAGCTATTATTCTGTTTATTTTCCTAAACTCTGAGTGAAGCGAGAAGGCTATTAGTTTTATCATGTGTTTTATTTTTAGTATCTATGAACATGAGTTTGACTATAGACCGATTGCTTCAATAACTGCAATGTTGGAAGATTTTTGATCCGAAGTTGTTCAGTAGACTTCAACCTTTTTGACTCGCCATCCACTTTTCTTACCATATTTTTTGCGACTTATGTCAGTTTCGTTAGTCATGAAAACCAAAAAAAAGTTAAAATTGCTTAATATATGCCATTGTAAAAGTGCTTCTATAATTGAATAAATAAAAAAATTCATATTTTTCTAGATATCTATGCAAAAATAAATTTTTATTATAAACAGGACTCGGGACTTAAAGTATTTGCTTATTTTTATGGCTTAATATAAAATGTAGCAGAGTAATATGGAAGTGTATGCCATGTTATAATACGTTAAATTATGAAATTTTAAAGTGCTTTTATTTTGTTGCTTTTTTGCATATGTCTGCTTAATTATAAACGATGACGTACGCTACTGACCTGACCCAGATTTTTTCAACTATTTATAAATATTGTTTACATTTTACTTTTCAGAAAATCCCTCGGAAAATCTATAAAAAATAAGGCAAAATGCCTCGAAAGTCAAAGTTAAGACTTTTTTATAGTAAAAAAATGTATTGATTTTTTTGACTAAAAAATTATAATATAGACTACAATTTTTTTGTTTTTATATTTTTGTCATCTTTAATTATATATTCAGCATAGTTAAAAAATATGTCTACTATTTTAACATCTTCATGTAAAAAGAAAATTGAGAAATTTTGCTAGATTTTTCCTATTTTGGGTAATTTTTATTTATATTGTATATTTTTGTTTAAATTTAAATTTTTAAATGCTTATTTGAGTGCTTATAATTATATTTTTAGGTGCTTAATTTAATGATTTTAAGTGCTATAAGTCTCTGCTAACCTGCTATAAGTTTTTTTTCTGTATTATTAATTATAATTTATTATTAATAATATAGAAAAAATAGTTCAATATTTGACCAGGAATTTTTTCACAAAAAATACTCCATTTCGGTTATACTCCACACTATGTACTACGTAATTTGTAGATAAATGACAAGTAAATGAGTTTTATCGATGAAGTTGGACTATCGCTAAACCATTACTTCATTTGATGTCCATTCTTATCTTCAACAAAATAATTCGTTTTCGGGTTTAATCAAAAAAATAATTTTCGAAATTTTATGAAATATATAATATAATATTATATAAGTAATTATAACGTACCTATATGAATTTTTTAATTTTTAAACTGAAGATTTATCGTGACCCCCCCAGTTGAAGACCACTAGCATTAATATCATAACTTAGGGATGATTATTTTACAAAATTGCTAATAGTTTCCTTGATAGTTGTTAAAAACTGACGAAAATTAAAATGCAAACAGCAAACAGCAAAATTTACAGCACACCACTTTTTGACCAAATCAATTTTATTCTTTCGTTGCAACTCAATTAATAAGAACCGTATTACCTTTCATCTTACCTTTCATTATAAAAACGTACAACGCCGGAAGGAGGTTTTGAGAGGCCGAGGCAAATATTTCACGGGACCTTAGAATATTTTTTCGTAAAACTAAAAAATTTTTCTTGAACGCCTAATACAGAGGTTCCCAACCTTTTTGGACTCGCGGCACCCTTTATTATTTTCTAAAAATTTGGGGGCACCCTATAGCCTATGCCCTATACTCTATAGTTTATACTGAATACGCAATAATAATATATCGTATTTTAAATTTATATTTTGTAACTTCGGTTTTATTTAGCATTAATAAACAATAAAGATAAGATAAAGTCACAAGTATTTCACCGTAATAATAACTTTAAAACTGTTCACATCAAGTCTATAGCAATCGAACCAGTATGAAAATTAAAATAGATTGAACATCTCAGTATTACTATGTAAAAATGATATGTGTTATATAATTAATACATTAATACATTAAATTATATTGTATATACCTAATTAATTATACATAATAGGTTTTATACTATAGACATAGAGTATAGTCTGTTTTATTACTCAAAGTGCTATATTTTTCATAAAAGCGTTTAAAAATAAGTATATATTTCAAATATTTTTGCAGCACCCTAAATTTAAGTTCGCGGCACTCTGGTTGGGAACCTTTGACCTAGTACCTACTCATAAGAGTAAAGGCCAATGCATTTGTTTTTCTTCTGACTGTGGATTGTTACAGCTGCAGCAAAAAGTTCTTGACATTCTTCTTATCAGTGGTTTTAAAATCCGGTGGCTGGTATGAGCTTTACGCCTATGACGTACTAATTTGACTATGCATAGTAAAATGATTGTTTTTAAACCGAATCGAAGTTGTAAAAGAATGATAATACTTACATGGCTGAATAAAATATATTTACTTTTTCATTGCGTTTATATTATATTTAAGCACAGCTGCAGTGCACGTTATAAATATCGCGATATACACGACACATATAACGTATATATTATTAAATATAATAGTTCTTTCTAACGGAATACGCTGTTCTCGCGTGAACAACACATATTAAGAAAAGTTTATCTAGACACGTTACGATAATAAAATCATCCATCACGTGCGCACCAGCCAAATTTAACCGCTATGGCGAACCGTCAGGATTTCAAATTTTGTGCCGTGATAAACATGCATATGTATATGTAACGTCTATACCTGCCATGCGTACATATGAACACGATAATTTACGTTCATTTTTTTTCTCTGCAATTTTAATGTATACATTTACGTGCACAGTGACACTACTGTACTTGTATACGACGTGACTGGGTCGCGGTCGTGTTTACAATGGTATATTTTACGAATTACTTTATATATTTTCCGTCAAAGCAAACACGCTCGTTTAATTTCAAACGTCACATACACACACAAACACATATAAACACGCAGGGATTTTTTTTCAAACAATTTATTTTGATCGTATTGCAAAAGAGAAAAAAAACAAGACATTACTTCTGTAGTCTACACTGCACAATGTATGTACTGAAAATATTGCAGTGTACTTCAATCGGTCGGCGAGTTTATACGTGAAAAAAAATATCACGTTTACAGAGGTATGAATGCACGTACAGCGAATGTCGCTGAAGAATTAACTATAAGTAGTAATATTGCAACACCTCTTAAACATCAGCTCCGTAAAGATATGTTCGATGTATAGTTTTATTTTGATGATTACTTCTTGTATTGAAGAAAATCAATATCCTCGTGTCACATACGGTACGTATATTCAAGATATGATACTGCTGCGCCGCGGCTGTGTATATTATGTCTATGTAATGGCGTATTTTTAAATTGTTTGTTGGGGAAGAGCTTACAATCAGTGGCGTCATTT